ACCTGGAGGCATGACTCGTTCATTGTTTCTCCAATGCACTAAGAAGAACATTTTTGTTTAAATGCTACTTATAATAATAACTGGACTTAATAATACAACAGAAGGTCACTGTTCTTTCTAATACAAAAAAAAAAGATGCAATTTTGAATGAAATCAATGATTTCAATACATGTATTTCTATTCTTGTGTAAATTTTTCTACACCTTCACATGACTGAAAATACACCAGGAGTAAATTTACTCATATGTAAAGGATAATTTGCACCTAGTCTGACTTGATGAATTAACACATAGTGAAGAAATTTTCATTTCCTGTAGTTTTTAATCATATAAAGTTATCAGATATCAGCAAATTCTGAATCAAAATTCTACTTCAATCAATCAGAGGCACAAAAATCTTACTCTGTTAATACCGGTACATGTGTCTACCATTGTTTAAAGTATAATGACTAAGTATAAATCATTCTATTCTATTTTCTCAGAAAAAAATATACTAATCTAGCAAGCAGTTAAAACAAGCTTTGTATTCTATCTACATAAATTCAGAAATGATATTCTGTATACAGGGTTATTTTTGCCCCATCTTATTTTCGCCCTTTCACACTTGCAAACAATTTCGCCCCCTTTTAAATTCACCAAGTTGCACTTCTGTTTAAGAAATTACAGTTTTCTCTGAATTCACCCAGTTTTAAATTTTCCCACCTGTGAGAAGGGTGTAAGGGGTGAAAATAAAATGGGGAGGGGGGGGGATTCCCTGTATAGAGTATTACATGCTATGTATAATGAAGAAGAAAGAATGGTAATCTGAGGTGTATATCAAATTGCTCAAGGATGAGCTACAAGGCTCACATGTATCATATTGATCTGAAAGGGGTAAGAACAGGGTTGTCCCTAAGAATTGAAATAGCAGAGGACATTTAAAAGGTAGAAGGGGGTCTGGGGTTCCTCTCGTAACAGGGGGTTAAGGGGAAATACTAGAGTAACCTGTGGATAACGTCATTATAGGCAAGGAAATTCCCCGGCCCCCGGGTCTTAGGGACAACCCTGGTAAGAATCTTATTTTATTTTTAGAATTTTCTTTTTACACTGTATTTTTTGGTCATTACTGTGAGTGACATTACAAAAGGTCAAGGATAATTTTTAAATAAACTTTACCCTAAAACACACTGTGTCATATCAAAGTATTCAATGCATAAACATATGATAAATAGCAAAAAAAAAAAAAAAAAAAAAAAAATCTAGAAAAAAGAGTCAAATAAAGGAAAATGTGTAAATACTCCATGGATCAAGGTAAAAGAAGAGACTTTTATCAAAATTATCTCAAAATAGATAAATATGACCCAATTATACTTAAACTTAACAGTTATATATATATATACAGTCCCTGAAACGTTCTACTTTCCCACTTGAACGGTGAGCGAACGCTGAACGAACGGTAAACGAACGCAGAGCGAACGGTGAGTGAACGATGTGTGAACGCTGAACGCAACTTGGTGAACGATGTGTGAACGGTGAACGGTGAGCGAACGCAGAACGCGAACGGAGCGCAAACGCGAACGCAAAATGAACGGTGAACGAATGGTGAACGCAAGATGAACGATATATTCGGAATGCCTCTGATATTTTCCTTGCATTGAAACTATTTTATTGTATTATAATGTCAGTTGCCAAATAAATAATTAAATAAATAAATAATAAATAAGTAAACCAATAAATGAATGAATAAATAAGTCAATAAAATAAATTCTCCAAAATTGTCCTTAGAAAGACGATGCATGCACATCAAGTTTTTAATCACATGATTTTTATCGCATTAAAACATTGCAATTGTTGCCGAACGCTGAAGTATAAACAAATCAGAGAAAACTTCTGACTTATAGAATGAATTAAAGCAGTTGTAACATCCATTCATTTCTCTCCGTGTCAGGTCGATTTCGTGTAAAGTAATGAAAAAAAAATAATTACAAAGATCAGTGGACGTTTTGCATTTATACGCTCGTATTTTCAATTTTTAATACAATAATATATTATGTGTCATTTCTATTTTTCATGATGATTTATTGAGCAGACTTCTACATGTATATGTAGATGGCGGTGGTTATACTCAGACAAGATAATACAAAGATACATATTCATATTATTTGTTATAAATTCAATTTTCAGAACTTGATATTTATGTAATATGATGTTATAGTTTTTATTAAACAGACAAATGAGAGAGAGAGAAAGAGAGAGAGAGATATCTCGTTTTAGCCCCCCCCCCTTTCAGGCTTCACTAAATGTTTGTACCTATATCAAACAAAAACTCTGAAATTTTTTTCTAAATATATCAGACAGTGAAAGTAACTTTTCTTTTTATCAACAAATCATATCCATTTGTTTGACAGTGATACTCGTTTTTATTTTCCTGCTTCAAGTTCACACGAAGTCCACGTGCTTGTCCTGTCAATCAAAATCATTCGACACTGTGCAGGTGTGAAAGTTTCGTCACATCGAAGACGAAATGCGAGTATTTCCAACAAATTATAACATTTATTTTTATCATTTCTAGATTTGATCCCAACATTTGATTAATAAATGAATAAAATACATTGGGCATTAACACTTGAATTTGAAACATACTCTCTGCCAATTTCAAATACCACCGCCGATACGTGTACATTTTGAACTACTATTGTTTTGTGACTTTTTTTTTAGATGCATGTTTGTTTTGAGACTGAAATTTTTGTTCTAAAAAAGACCTTGACTTTTTTTTAAAAATGTTAATTAAAATATTCTGGAAATACAGTACTGACTAAGTAACCAATCTAGGGGGAAAAGGGGGGGGGTATTAATCATATCGAATGGCAAACATATAAAGTTACGGCGAAGAAAGATTTTTTTCTCTATAACTATAGACTTTACATATTATAGTAGAGAAAATTCTGTAGTGCAGTACATTTCAAATAAATATTTCCTTTAACCACACTATCAATTTAATTCGCTCCAAAGATAATAAATTAACAGGAAATCCGCAGTACTATGTATAACTCTCAGAACTAGTTCTATCATATTTTCTGTAGTAATTGAAAAAAAAAACGTGTTAGAAATAAATATTTTCGTAATTTTTCTGCGTAATTATTTGACTTAGATACATATGTAATTATATCACCATTAACGATTCGTCGTCTTTAACAAAATAACAAAACGTTGCAGTGCTTGAAGTATTTGCACATTGCCCTTAGTTATATTTAATATTTCAGCATCGTCCTACATAGGTACAGAATGTGCTTATAACAACATTTATTTTCCAGAGGAATTTAATAAATAACCTAACAGCTAAGTTAGAATAATAAAAATATATATCGTAGATATTTTTCAACATGAAATAATGATTCTTCAAACACGATATGTTAGTTATTAAATTAAAAAACCTGTAACTCATTCCCTACAAAAAGATAAGTCCTTTCACTTCGGAGTTCCGAATGACAATGAAAACTGAACGATAGGTGAACGGTGAACGCAAGGTGAACGCAAAGTGAACGGAACGAAGAGCGAACGCTGAACGCTTTGTGAACGGTGAACGCGAGCGCACGGTGAACGCAAAACTGTGAACGGAGAGCGAACGCTGAACGGTGAGCGAACGGAAAAATGGGAAAGTAGAACGTTTCAGGGACTATATATATATATATATATATATATATATATATATATATATATATATATATATATATATATATATATATATATATATATATATGTGTTGTATATTTTTCCTAAATGTGCATAAAGTTTACAAATGTTTTGTTCTCAAAAAATATTTTGAGTAAAACATTTTAAAATCACAGGTTTTATTTATTTTCTCATGGTTTTGTCTGACTGGTCAGGAGGACTAGCACCTTGTTTATACTGTGTATTTATAGCAGTTTAATGTTACCGTTCTTGACTTCCATATATGGAAAATGTCTAGACCTGTTAAAGGAGTGTGTCTATACATTTCTTTTATTTCATGTTGATTGTTCTTCCTAAAGTTTATAAATAATTTTTTAAGCATTATTTAAGAAAATAGCAAAACAAAGAGCTAGGTTCACCTTTATGCATAAAATGGCCCTGTCCTTATATCAATTTATTGACTATCACCCTCAGTCCCATTTCTTATATCAAAAACATGCGTATTTGACTAACTTCAGCAAAGAATTAAAATATGACCACAGACCTCGATCCAAAAATTAAAACATGTTTTATGATCTTCAGAAACAGATCTTTCATTATGTTATTGCATATTTTGGATCAGAGGTTGTGCTCTATATGAAATATTGAAAAAATACTTCAACTTTTGGCCATTTTTAAAGGAATTTACAGGATAAGGTAAAAATGATGCATTTCATGACATCATAATGCATTGACTAGAGAGGAAATTACGTCATGTTCAGAAGAAACATGGTCACCAAGGGTCCAAGTAATGAATACTGCATTGTCAGCCAAAACTGAGCAGTTTCGATTTTTCAGAAATTTACAGGGCCAAAAAAGGCCCTAAGTGGCCCTTGCTCTTTTGTCCCTGTTACTATATCATATATACTAGTACTATTGTATAATATGAAACTTATCCCATTAAAATTTTACTTTTAAAGATTATGTATGAAAGTTATGGCCCAATTCTGGCCTTTTGATTTATGATTTAATTTGGACAACTCTGGATTTGCCTAAAAAATCCCTACCATTGAATTTATTTTCAAATTTGTCATATCTGCTCAATTGGTCCTTGAGAAAAGTTATAGTAAAATCACTATTTCTTTTCCATTTCCTGTCCTTAATATGAGATTTAAACATCTTTAAGCTAAATGAATTTCATGTTCAACAACTTTACAAGAATACTTTCCAGGCTTTCTGTCAAGTTTAGTTGAAGATTTAGTTTTACATAAGTTAAAAGTAGAGTGTACAGATGCTAGAATGTAGATAGACAACCAATAAAAGTGTTCAGCTTTTCTTTGAACTCTTAAGTGAGCAGTGAGCTAATAATACCTGTTGTTTGAAGCTCTTAAGTTTTCTATCCAGAACTTCTTTCTCATCACACACAATATTGATCCTCTTCTCTAACTCTGCAATTTTGCTGTCTGCTACTTGAAGAAGGTCAGCAACATAGGGGTCATCTGCTGCAGCAAAGGCATGCCCCATGGGGCCATCAGTGGGAGGAACAGCACAGTCAATCTCCATCCTTTGTCGACGGAATGGTATGCTCTTCTTTTTACCTCCTTAAATTTTTGGGGGAAACAGTAAGTAAAACATGTATCTAAATACATTTCAAGTATCAGTATGCTACAAGCCTCTGTAGTAATACATATAATTAGAAAATGTTAATACTTCCACTTATTTACCATTTAATGTGCATGAATTGACATGAACACCTTTCTGGTTTACAATTGATTTACCTAGAGGATTTGAGGGATTGGAATCTCTTCTTTTCTTAAATCAAATCATCTTTGGGTATGTTTAAAAAAATTATTACCTGGGGTCTGAACCACAGCATGGAAATTTTTTTCCTGTAGATGCAGAATTCTATCAGATTTCTCCCTGGATTCTTTTTCCAGTTGTTTGACTTTGTGTACATACTGATTGTTCAGGAATTTCAAATCAGCATTCTCATGTTCAAGTTTCCTTAGAGATGCTTTTAACTCTAAAATGCAAGTTCAATTATTGTCTTAGTAAAGTAATGATGAGAGTTATTGTAAAGTAATGATGTAAATTGTTGTAAGAATGATAAAATAAAAACACAATTCTGAACTAAGGACCAGCCATGGAACAAGGGCCAATATTTCCCTCAGTCAACAACGAATTTTAAAAAGTCATTGAAAAAAAATATCTTTCTTTCCTAGCTGATCCTAATTTATAGCATGCAGCCATGCCATCCCTATTTTTTGGGGGGAGGGGGGAGGGGGGGGGCTTTTCCAAAGATATAAATGTTCAGTTTTTTGTGATATATAAAAATTTCTACAATAAATTAAGTCTTACTCTTAGAAATGCTTTCAAGAACTATTTCTTTTGTCATCAGTGTTACTTAAGATGTTTTATTTTAAGAAGTCCAAGGTTGGGGGGGATTAAAAAATGCCTACCCTAATTTTTCCCGTCTGTAAGCAGAAACATACATTTATCATCTAGTTATAATAGTTTTTAGTCTGAAGTGAATTCATACTCTTAAAACAGCGCATATACCTTTCAAGGAACTTTGGATTCTTTATGATGAAAGTTTAATTAAAGTGTTTAACCATAACATTCATCACATTTCACAACTTTCATGACTTTAGAGAAATCTTAAGAGAATAAGAAATGTTGAAATCTACCTCAATTTTTGAAAGATTTTTATCTACTATTGTAGAATTGTACCTTTGTATCCACTTCCTACATGTATAGTATTGGTGGGTACAATATTCTGTACATACCTCTAACAATAGCATCTGATTCATCTTTTTGTTTGATGATCTGCTGATGTAGGTCATTATTTTCCTTCACTAGCTTTGCATTGTCACTCTTGTAAGGTTCAATTGCACTGTCCACATCTTTTGTTTCCACCTCTGTTTTACCCAGCTGTAACTTGGCATTTTTCAAACTTTCTGTTGTGTGAACAAGATCAGCAAATAATTTTTCAACAAGTGGCAATGACTCTAATCCTAAAGTTTGTCTGTATCCAAGCTGGTCAAGTCGTTTACGTAGATTTGTAAACTTTTGCTGAGCCTGTGCTGAAGTTTTATTGCTGCTAGACATATTGCGTACTTATTCTCCTGAGGCCTAAAATAAGATACAACAATATACTTTATGGAACTTTAAGCAACTGAACAATAAGCAAGTATATAAGCATGTTGACTCCAAACTGAAAAATATACTAAAAATATATAGGCGTGGTTACACAGTCTACAAGACTGGACAATAAACAAACCGAGTACATTCGGGTTAGTTTTTTTTTCAATATGCAACATCAATTTCCGAGCTAAAAATGAAATCAGCAATTATTACCTTTCGATATTGATGAAAATGTATAAAATAATTTAAATATGTAACATTTTGATTCAGAAAATCATCATTACACTTATAAACTCTTTTAGTTTACAAAACTTCTGACATGTACCGACAGGTATTGTTTTCAAATAATGGCGGAAATGATTGTTTCTGCCTCCAGAAGAAGAAGAGCGCTAAAAGGTGCGTCTATTTACATTATCGACGAAAGGGACGGGGACTCGTCTATCTATCGATATTGTTACCTATGGATATGAGTGGTTTACTATTGGTTGATTGAATTTGTTGTTGGTCAAGTCCTGCATTGGAGAAGAGTACTCCAAATCTGGACATAAAAGGGAATCTCCAAAAGTAAAATCATGTAAATTACTATTCAGCAAAAACAAATTATTTACACTGAGGAACTTCCCGGAAATATTGAATATTTTCATGTTTCTAAAAAAAAAGAAAAAAAAGAAAAAAAATTAAATTTTGTCAGGATTTCTTAACTCCATGCAGGAAACGTTTAGCAGTTCTCTTGCTTATACGTACCATAGATGTTGATTGATTTAGTCAGGCAAGCTTTTTTTTAAAGCGATTACTTGGTATAACTAACATCCACTCCTCAAAGCCGCTACCTCTTAGGGGAATGTCAGTGATTAGCGGCAATTGCACTTTTATTGAGTTCAAATTAAAGCACTAAATGGAATTTATTGGCATTGTTCAATTCATGAACTGCAGAGATTATTTTCTTTCAAAACTAATAATCTGTTAATTGGGAAGTTGGTTAGGATTCTGGATCAGACTGAATTTTCAAGATTTTGAGGTTATCTTTACTTGTACCAAATGAATTTTTTCTGTACCCCCCCCCGCCCTCCCAAGTGATAAACTGGAATGATTTATAGATATATGATTGCTTTGAGACTTTAGTGATCACATACATGTACTCACATGGGTCTGAATTAGAATAAAAACTTATTTGTATTCACAATTTAAGTTCGTGTACTAATATAATATGCAAACATCACATCCCATTTCATTTCCCTTTTCCTCATGCCTTAACTCTCTCTCTACCCCCCCCCCCCCCTCCAAGGCCAACCTTTTAAGGGATTAAAAAAGGCGAAGATATCTTTAAAAAATCTATAAACAATACACATCTGTGAAGAGGGCATAAAAAACATGGACCCCTGGAAATTCCTGAGGTGGAATCAGGTGCCTAAGTGGAAGCATCCCTGTTGACCGGTCACACCCGCCGTGAGCCCCGTGTATTGGTCAGGTAGGAACATTCCGTAGTCAAATTCAGTATAGCTAGGAAAACAAATGCCTAATAATTGGTATGAAACACAATGATAGATTATATTTGCTAACAAGGTCGTTATAAGAACCATAGAATTTACGAAATGCTAAACGCGGGTGTTGAAATCCCTGCAACATCAACTTATCTGTCAGTAGCCTGCCTCAGTCTAAAAATTGGCAGTGCCGTACTCGGGGCATGTTCTTAACTATCGAATGAGTTGGGAGATGCAAACACCATATGCAGGTGATGGCGGGATATTACTACTCGTACATAAATGATGAAGGTTATACATGTAACGACGGAAAAGCTCAGCGAAGTCATCTCTTTTGTCATACAATTTAGTTGTTAGTTGGCCCTTATAGTCAGTAAAACATCCAAATATGAAACAGATGTGACAGGCTGAGAGTCTTTTACTTCAAGTTCACTTTAACAGTTTAAGGAAAAGAACTAAATTATAACTTAATCCTTTTGTCTGTATTCATCACATGTATTGTCGCTTTAGTGTATAGTGTATACAACATCGACCTGTTTAAACTAAAAGCAGTGGCCAAGGAAAAAGCTTGTCACATTTTTTCCTGAGGTTGCTATTTCCATTTTCTGATATCTGTATACTAGGCCAAGTTTTTTTTTAGGGAGGGGGCTATAAGTGCCTAATTTTCGTGGGGGGGGGGGGGGGCTAAGTGCCTAATATTTTATTAATTTCCCTTTTTTCTTTGCAAAATATTGTACAACAAGTTAAAGTTATTCAAAGAATATCTAAAAGATGTAAGAAATCTTTTTAATTCCATTTTCAAGGTTTGCTTGTCGTTTTCTACGATCAACCCTTTTTTGCCACCCCCCCCCCTTTCGTCACTTAGATACACCAATGGATATCTGAATATTTTGCCACTTGCATAAAACACCATGAATTAATAATCCATCAAACTCTTACTAAGCATCAGCTAGACACGAATAGTTTTACATGCTTTCCAGCATGCTATGAAGGTTTTCGTCTGCATTAGCCTGAGCAGGTAATCATACTAACTCTTCAGCGAATAAGGTAAAAACACTATAAGCATGTAAACAAAATTTACATTACTTTGCTTAGGGCTGCTGAAAACAGTTATGGCAAACATATTTGCAAACGTTTGGGTTGAAATATCACCACATTGCATAAATAAGGTTTCAAACTTTGTTAATGCTGACAGATACCTGGCCAAAATATGCAAAATCACCGGTACACAGATTGTTAACATGTTTGACAAGACAGCAATCCAGGGACAGTGGCATCAGATTCTAATGCTTCATAGACTTCTGGCGAAAAAGTGGAACAAGAAAGCCATTAGAAGTGACGTGTTGTCCAAATTATTGCTACAGAAATACAAGATACAAAGAGAGAATCAAAATCTGACAGCTTTCAATGAACATGCCAAAACAAAGGGCGTATTTACAGTAAATGAGCTAAACAGAGTTGAAATTTCTTACAAGTCAAAACAAAAGAAAGATGGAAGTTTGGAGGAGGAATGTGTAACTTTGTCAAATAAAAATGATCATTTATTTGAGGAATCCTGTGAAGATCAAGCAATAGCAGCATCAGTTTCAGTTCTGAACTTTCAACATGTTGATGCTAAAGACACAGATATTTCAGCAGATAACAGTGAAACACTGCAAGGTACATTTGAAGGTGTAGATAGTGTCAGTGGTGACATTGATGCAGCAGACATAATATTGCCAGCAGAAACAAAGATCAACAAACAACTGCAGAATGAAAAGACACCCAGTAACTTTAAATGTTCCCTGTGTGAGTTTAAAAGCAATCATAAGAATTCTGTCAGGGATCATGAATTACGAGTTCACTTTGCTCTACCAGAGAAATGTAAACTTTGTGAAAAAGTATTTTCTAGCCATCAACACTTAAAGAGGCATATGCTTTCTCACAAAAACTCAAAGCTAATTTGCGATGTCTGCGGAAAAATGTACAAGTCCACAAGGACTTTGAAGAAGCATAAGAAATTGCACAGCATTGGCTATGAAATACCAGAACTTGAATGCATACACTGTAAAAAATCATTCACTTCAAAGACCTCATTGGAAAATCACATAGAAACTCAGCATGCTGGGAAAAAATCAGCCTTTCTTTGTCCTACATGTGGAAAGGTATTCACTCGAAAATATTCTTTAAAGCAACACCAACTTGTTCACACAGGATCAAGACTTGTTTGTGATGTTTGTCAGAAATCTTTTTCTAGTGAATCATCCCTAAGGGACCATAGAAATATTCACACAGATTTAAAATCATACAAGTGTCAAATTTGTTCAAAAACATTTAACCAAAGGACAACATTACAAAAGCATTCAAAGATTCATTCAGCAGACAAATCATTTAAATGCTTGGAATGCGGCAGAGGTTTCACACAGAAACAGGCTCTTCAGAGACATGAGAGATCTCACAAGGGAATAAAGCCATTTACTTGTAAAATTTGCCAAAAATCATATGGTGATGCAGCAATCATAAGGAAACATCTGATTGTTGTTCATAAAATTCATAAAGATTCCATGCATTGGAAGGAAGATATAATACAAAATGAGGATGATAATTCATTTGATACAGGGTACAATACTTGTAACACAAGTCACACAGAGAGAAATGAAACACAAATACCAACATATGGTTCTTATGAGGGCAATGTCATGATTCATACAGAGAATTTAAATGAAATGCAGATTTCACTGACCACTGAACACAATACTAAACCTGTGCCAGCTCTTCCTGAAGATTTATCAATGTCTTCCCAGGAAGTTCATCAAATCCAGAGCCAAATGCACCAGCTACCACTGTCTATGTACCAGCACTCCCAAACTCTCTACAATGAACATGTGGATCCAACAGGAGTGGATCCCAGTGTTTATCCATCTCAACATGACCTAAACTCAGTATCCACCTATCCTTATCTTTCATCTGCACAGGGACAACCTGACCAAAATCTAGAAAATAACCACACCTCCACAAACCCATACCTTGCATCCACACAGCCAACATCAGCAGAAAATATGGAGGAAAATCCAGCATCCTCACACCCTTACCTCCCCACCCAACATCCCCCACCACACGATGAGGATCATTCATCTTCTCACCAGTATAATGACTCCATTCTGGACATGAGTGGCACACCAAGACCAGAGGGGCTAACATCAAAGCGTCTACCTGATGCTGATGCTGCAGAAAATTTGTCCTTGTCTACACTGTATGCCTACTACTCCAGCTTAGCTTCCCAATATTTGAACATGTCTGGATACCCTGGGTATACCCAGCCATCAGAAGAACAGCAACAGTCTCAACAAAATGTCTAAAATCAGCTGACAACCATTTCACATTATTTTGACATCATATGCATGTTGTATTTCTGTTAGTAGTTGAATTATACTATTCATCACTCATTGCTTGTGTATTGGTTTTGTATAAAAATAGAAAAGAAATAGTTAGATCTACTTAGTAGTTTAGTAAAGGAAGAACCTTGACTTTGAGGCTGATCCATTCTTTGCAGCAGGGTCAGTAAGGGGGAATAACTGTTATATGAGAAGTTAGATCAGAAAGGGTACACATTGGATATATCCTCAGTTAGTGAAATAAACTGAAAGTGCTTAGGCCATAAAAAATAATTAATAGTTTCTCAGGCCAAAAATTTCAAAATTCAATGTGGCAGGCAGGTTCTTTTTTTTCTTTTTTTTTTTTTTGAAGCAGGTGTTATACCTTTTTTTCATGTTAGTCATTCAACAAAATGATGATATCAACTGATTCTTACTTTTTTGTTCTCTTACATTAATTATAATATGTATTCAACTTTAAATAATGTTATTCCAAACAAAGTTAATTCATAAAATACCGTATTAACATAATTAACAAGAAATGTATTGTTTATCTAATTAGCATATATGAAAAGGGGAATAACTCAATTTTCTTTTTCAACTTGGAAAAATAAAAATTGAGTTATTTCCCTTTTCAATATATCAATAAAATTGATCAATGCGACAGTGTTTGACCTGATGTGGCGGTGCCTGAGAAACTATTGATTAATTTTTTTGGCCTTAAGTAAGGCAAGATAATTCTACAGTAAAGCTTTGGATACAATATGTGTTACAGTGAATCCATGTTTGTATGTACATGAAAATGATTGTAAACATTTGGTGAGAGATCTCATCCATATCACAGAATAAAAGGATGAACAACTCAGCTGCTTTAAGTTACTGTATATAGGTTTTTCTTGGGGGTTGATATGTAGAGGATTTTTCACCCCTTGTTCTTTTTGCCCTTTCACACCCGCAATCAGTTTAATCCTTTAATTTCATCCAGATACAGTTGTATTAAAGAAATGATGCTGTCTTCTTTGAATTTGCCCCATTTAAAATTCACCCACTTGCAATGAGGGTGAAAGGGAAAAAAAAACTGGAATGAAAATTTCCCTTTTCACAGTATATACTCATAGCATGTGTGTAATGAGGGATGCTTACTATTACTTATTAGTATGTCACCGACTGTCAACAAATATATCGGGTTGATCAATCCCAAAGATGGTGAGGCATAGCCGAGCCATCTATGAGATTGATCAACCAGATATATAATATTTCTGTAGACAGTAACATACCTAATAAGTGGATGGATCATAGTATGACAGATGTAAACACAAGACATGCCTGTAGCAATGTTTATCAAAAAAAGAGGGAGAAGGTGTGTGGGCTTAATTACACTCACATACACACAAACCGACAAGAAAAAAAAACTTAAACGGCAAAATTCTTGAGGGGAAGGATCTTCCTCTAAATTTTTGGCAAGTTTTTCATGCAATGTGGCACCCTTCTGCAACAAAAAGTGTGTGTGTGGGGTGGGGTTGGGGGGGGGGGGCAACGTTTGAATGATATAGAATCTACAGCAAAAGACAGTTCTTTAGACAGTGGGAGGCTCCCCTGAATCCCCTAGTACTAGGGGGCCTGCAAGAATTGATAATCAAGATGACTGAATTCAACATATTTTAATTCTGTTAATTGAGTATCCTAACATCTTGACTAGGCTAGCCTATCAAGTCTAACTTCACACAGTCAAACTTCAAAATTATCAATCTCATCTTTTAATTACTAAAATGCATCAAGTAATCTTGAAAATCTTTGGGAACCTTTTATGTTAAATATTTTATTTTTTTAATTTCATATGTTTTTTCCTATCTCCTCTGGATCGTTACCATCACTTGTGATGCACACACATCAACTCTGATGCCATTTCTTCAAAGGGCCGCTACTCTAATATCAAGACGAAAACGTTATTGAAAGGGGTTTCCTTGATAAATGATTTCTAAAATTGAAATGTTCATGCAACATGTCTGCCATATTGCCAGATATTAATTCTCACCTGCAAGACATAGAAATAAGATGGAAGTCACGTGTTGTGTTTAAACCAAAGAAAAAGCGACATTTCAATATGAGGAAAAATAAAATGTCCTCCACATACAAGTATGTTAATATCACATCACTTTTATTGCACATATTGACTCCAAGCATACAGAGAGCACATATTGACTCCAAGCATACAGAGATCACTGACTGAAAGGAATCTTGCATACTTGTAACACACACACACACACAAATATTCTCACAAATTTTAAAAGAGAAAAAAGCATTAGAAATATACATTTGTCATATTGATGTTGACCTATTTAAGTAAGAAATTCAAATTTAATCAGGTACTCATCATCTGAGACAAAAAAAGAATGTTTTTAACATGTAATGCTAGACAATAAATCTTAACTGTAAAAATAACTAATGTTAGATGATATTTTTTTTGCCAAGTGATTTGAATTCAATTGCTGCATGATTACAATAGTATTGTAAAGTTCGTAAATGGAAAATTGGTTTGATAAATATACAGTGACATTGTATATAAGGAAAAGAACCAGATATAAAAAGTATGTATACAGAATGCAATAGAAATTTCTTCATGGATTGACTGGCTCCATTTTATCTTCAGTTGTACAGTCTTTCTGTGATGTTTCCTCAGTTTTGTTCTCTGTATCATTAGAATGGGTCTGCTTTGGACCTCCTTCAGAACCACTACCCACTGAATCTGTCTGCCTTGGACCTCCTTCAGAACCACTACCCACTGTATCAGATTTACTTGGTTTCTCACCAGGGCTCCCTTCAGTGCTATCAGTCTCTGTCTCATTATTGTCAGAGTTTTGTGAAGTTGTATTAAATTCAGTTTTGTCAGATTCCTGTGTAACATGAGTTTCCTCTTCATCCACAAATATGATGTCTTCCGGGTTTGGAGGTCGAGGAAGAAAATCTTCTCCAGGCATTGCTTCTTCAAATATCCCCCTTGCCTATGGAAAGAAGTACCCCCAAACATTTAGGAATTGAAATTTTTTATTAAACTACCAGGTAGTTTACAGTGAATTCAAATTACATATAACATATAATTCTTTTTTACATATTCAACTTACATAAACATTGGTATAATCAAAAATATGATGTATTTTATAATGAAGAAGATAAATAAACATATGTAGATTAATGTTAGAGTGTTAATTACATTATCCTTGATTTTGTAAACCATACACTTACAATAGTGACTGCTTGGTCAATGTCTATTTCTGGTCCTGGTCCTGGTACCAAGGTCACATTACTAGGTATATTACTGCACTGACCTCCAGTATTTATCTTCTGTTGATAATACAAGGACCAAATTATCTGAGGTTTCTCATCTCCTGTAATTTAACATTATCATTTACTGATTTACTAATACTGTAGATCATCAAATTTTCTCAACACCTCATTTTTGTGAGATAGTAATTTGGTATTTATGAGCCAGACAGAGCATCTCATTTACTGTGAATCACTAATTTTCATGGGGGTTAATTTTCTTTTTTTTTCAAGTATGAAGAGACCAATGAATTCATATCCTCCAGAATAATGTTTCTCCTTTCACCACAAATTCAAATCTCTTCAAACCAGTTATTTTTCCTGAAATCATGAAAATTTGACCCCACAAAAATAAGTGATTTTACAGGAAATGTAAAAATAAAGTTCTTGCAAGTAAAAAGTGATTTACAGCATGCTGAAAATGCTGAAAAAGGTACATGGTCACATGTACCAAGAAATACGCATGTTCGGTATTATAACTGATACATAGAAATAACCTGAGGAATCTTCCTGGAAGAGCTTTGTGACATCAGCCTGAAGACTTTCCTCTGGTGCTTTATTGTCATCCTCAGATTCCTTTGTCAAGTGAACAACATCTGAAAGACATACATGTACATAAGAATACTAGGTACCATGCTCTCTTCTAGGAACACCAAGGCTAAAGCAATAACTCATCTGCACTAAAATGTAGACCCATACTCAGTAGAACTAGATTTGAATGTATTACTGTTTAAAGAGATACATACACAGGCTATCTGGACAAGCCATTGCTGATGCTGGTAATTCTAGAATGGTGGTGGGATGTTCTTCATCAGCTTCGTCTGGAATTCTCAACAAGGACAACTACAGAGGACAAAATAAGTCAGTGATTCTAAGCTGACAACTGCAGACGACAGTGATTCTAATCTGACAACTACAGAAGACAGTGATTCTAAGCTGACAACTACAGAAGACAGTGATTCTAATCTGACAACTACAGAAGACAGTGATTCTAAGCTGACAGTCAAGGAAGGAAAGGCCAGGAAGGTCAATGGATTTTGAAACCATTAAAAATTATTTAAGTGAAAATCTTAAAAAGTTACTTTTAATATTGTCAATAATTTCCAGACAAGTTATTTCTTTAATAAAATGGGTTTAAATTTAACAGGAAATTAAAAGTGTAAGTTACTCCATTCTTATGAAGGACTGATTTAATTTTCAATTTTTACCTGGTGTAGATCATCTGAAGGCATCATGGACTTGTCAGTTACCAGAATGCCTCGATTTACAAATCTGAAAAAAAAAAAATTGAAACATTCTAAAATAATTTTCTGTCTGCATTTGCCATTTGTAATAGTTCTGTATTTTTGCAAGATAAGGATTTGATATTATCACCTGCAGCAATGTTATACCTGTTTGAAACACTGTCAATGAATGAATCAGGAGCATAGGAATTCTCCATTACCAGGCGTCTTAAAAACAGAAATAAACATTTTATAAAATCGTAACATTTCATAAAATCATATTATCACGTTTACTCCTTTATACAGTAGATATAGCTCATAGGATATTGTTTTTAAGTCCACTGTTGTGACACTACACATGAATTTAATAACATTAAATATTGTGGATTTACATATTTAAAACAGTGTAATACATGTGTACATGTGATAGCTATGTGTAAAACATGCTATAAAAAGAATTTCCTATGGTTTGTGGTTAGATATGATTTTTAATCCAATTTGTTGTGTGTTTTTATCCCCCACACCATCGGTCAATTTTTGATAATCGGTTACTTGGACGTTTTTCCGATCGAGTACCCGGGTACTCGGTAAAAGTGTAAATACAAGTGTGTTAATTTTCTTGAACCCCGTGAAACCCCAAGGCTGTTTTTATCACGTGTATAAATGTACTATATAAACACCGATTCCAACGTAAATGATTTTTGGCACTAAATTTATTTATCAAATAAACACAAAAGACATAATTATTAGATCAAAAATTACAAATGGTTTACAGCTCTTGCTTAGAATCTCTATTTCATCAAAAGGAGGACACTCTGTTACGCAGGTTTGTGATGATTAGACTAACGAAAGAGAAGCAATGGACGTTGTTGGGATCGCTAGTCTAATATTATAGTAAGTTTAGTGTATAAGGGAGAACAATTTTATATGTTGATTGCTTCCCCCGTATACATTAACTGACTAAACTTACTACGCTGACTTTCAACATTTTTTTTAAAAATATTTAGTTATTTCTAAGCATTTCTTCACTTTTGAAGTGAGTTGCGGCATTTCTATGCATGTCCAATTTCGCTGCCGTATATTAACTAAATAATTTAAAAATGATTTGAAGATAATAGACCATCGATATTCACTGAAAACAATCACTGAAGCCATCCAAAAATTATAAGGACCACAATAGGTGAGTACAGCTGGGTCACTAATTACTGTATATACACAGCCACAGGCGATAATTGGTGTTTTAGAGGTGTAGAAGACTACACGCTATAATTACCATGATAACCGTATGCATACATGTATTTAAATTAGTTTTTGATAAGTTTTTGATAAAAATAAGTACTTTGAAATAAGAAAAAATACACATCCGAGTAACCGAGTACCATTTTTAGTATTCGATACTCAGACGTTCGATCGAGTACCCAGTTAACCGGGTACTCGTTGACATCCCTAAAAAATATATAACTCATGGGAGGTCATATACATGTATATTTCATAAGATCATGTGAATCTATAGACATAAACCCAAACTATTTTTCATTATATACAAGTGCCTTAATTTACTCTTCCTCTCATAACTAAAACATTTTAAAATCACAGCATTTGTAAACTTATGACATCAGCAAGGAAAATTTTCATTTTTAAGTCACAGCCTGCCTATAGATTTGAAAAAAAGAGGTGTTATTTCACATTTGTTAATTTCCCTTTCCAATTTTTCTATTTCTTGCCCCCCCCCCCCCCCCCCAAAAGATCAAGTTTTAGTCAGAAATACATGTACATGAAAAAAATCCACATGTGCAACTCGACTTTCAACAATTAGATACATGTACCTCGGTGCAGATTTGAAAGAAACTTGGTAAGAATGGTCATCCTTTAAATTTGTTATTTTTTTCACATACCAGTACATGCAAGATTAAGAAATTTACACAGAAATTGCTCATATCTGAACTCAGCTTTATTTCTATGCCATTAAGCCAACATGCAAGTATGAAAAAGTCTGGTAAGAAACAAAGTCATTTTTTTCAAATAATCTGATGGGCAGAATGACAAATGATGGAAATTATGATAAATTGCAAGGGCTTAAAATCTCTTTCATACTAATCTAAAAAAATATAATAACATCTAAAGATCAGTTAATATAACTTTGAAATCAGGCACAATTTGCTATGCAAGTAGTTTTTTTTCTCAAAAGTGGACATGTACAGTAGGGTAAGTCAGGGTAATTTCGACCACCGTTTAATTTCGACCACAGGAACACAACACTACACAAAGATCCACGGAAGTGTTAAGACATGTTTAATTTATTCGGAATTATAGAAAACTGTTCTTCAAATTGTGTGTCCTAGTGTAATTATTCATCGCAAATATGGCTTGATCAGTGATATAAATAATATTTTTACTATTATTTATGTCTCCAGTTTGACGTTCGAAGTCCCCGTTTTCAGTGCGCTTGATTTATCAAGGAAATGCAAGAGAGACAACTCGTACAACCTCTTTTTTAAGTTTAACCTTGTTCAACAGTCTACAGCACGAATTAAATTAAAATTGTTTTATTTTTTCTTGGAATAACTTTAAGTTGCAGAATTGTACAAATTTATCTTGGATTTCTCTCAAAATGCACAAGAAACGTCCATTTGATTGTGGTCGAAATTACCCCTACTGATTTTAAGGACGCGGGGTAAATTCGACCACTTATTCTGAAATATGTGTAAGTTGTCTTTAAGGAAGCTCTAAACACTGCACACTAAAGAGTTCTATTTGTAGGGTAGTTTTATTGAGTTAGAGTGATCTGCCCTTAGAAGAAAAATAGAATAAATGGGAATCTACAGTTGATGACACAAATTCTTATGAATTAAAGTATTCTTAATGTTATGTTCGACCAAGATTAAGTAATTGAATACATTATTTCCATTAATTTTCCTGATGCAAGTAAACAACAGTGATTTCTGTTCACAAATAGTTCATTGTCTTTGAACATTTTTTCTGCAGAAATAAGGCAGGCACCCTATGTTGAAAATGAACTAGATACACTGAATATGTGCACCTTTATATGATATATTTTTCTCAAAGTCCAAAAAGCATTTTTCATTAGTGTTTAGAGCTTCCTTAACAGCTGATTAAAACAACGCAGAGTTAGATCTTCAAAAAAAAAAAAAAAGATTATACTGTATATGTACGATATTATCTACATATAACCTTTTATATTTAAAAAAAAATATGTCAGATTTATTAACATATGCATGCCTAGCTATATACTATAGGATATTGTCCGGGCCGTTCACGAGGGTGCATCACGGATCGACGTGCGAGAGAACACGGAGTCGGCACTGGCTATGAAATAACACATGACGAGAGCAATCCAAAAGTTTCCAAACCCGTCAAATTAACAAAAGAGAGGATGCAGGCAATATTAAATGTATGTAAAAAAAAAGAAGGGTTTTTTAATTTTTTTCATTATTACGAATGCCTAAACTTTGACGGAAAAGATGGGGGCTATCAAAAAACCAACGAACCAGTCGTATTAAGATCGTATCACACAGTCCGGGTACATAAATCCAAATAGTACCTAAAATATCAGAACAACGCACCAAAAGAGCCACAACAATCTTGAAAAAAAAACCAAACAAACAAAAAAAAACAAAAACAAAACAAAACAAAACAAAACAAAAAAAAAAAAAAAAACAAAACAAAAAAAAAAAAAAAAACACTATGATGTTATACGTTATTAATGATTTGTTTGAGTTTTTTTTTCGGAGGGGGGGGGGGGGGGGGAGGAGGATTTCAGAGAACTTTTCTTCTGTAAATCTTTATTCAATTGACTTGATCGAATTTCGTAGGATCTATCTCTTTTAAGAATTAAAAAAAACACGTACAGTACGTAATATAACGCATTCCAAATGAATGTACAAATGGTAAAAATTAGTGAAGGAAAATATACGCAATTCTAATGTTATGCTCAAACCTTATACATACATATACATATATATATATATATATATATATATATATATATATATATATATATATATATATATATACAATCTGAATGATTCTATTGTGAAAAAAAAATATTTTTTGGGTTGGACATATTAAAAATCATATCAAAGAAATTATTTGTGGAATCTGAGAAAATTTTATCTATTTGCATAACTATATATCACAATTTTAAAATATAGAGTTGGCGAATTAAAAGCAGAATTTAGAATAAAGAATAAGAATTAAGATGTCTATAAGACAGCATTGAAAAACTTAAGTAACCCAAACCCAATTCTTTACTGTATGGATACTAGTACTTATACATTTTAATCTTTCTATTGAGAGAGATAGAGATAGACACACGTATTTTCTAAATAAGGCAATAGTTTCTCGGACCATAAATGTTGAATAAAACGCGACAGGTAAAGTTTACTTGCATTGCAAGAGTTATCTTTCTTTTTGATGTTTGTTGTGGTCGAAATTACCCCGAGGCCGGTCGAAATTAACCCATGCAACACGCTTACTTATTTTTAAACCAATTTATTATTTTTTATGCATTTTTAACTCCTAAAGCAGAAAAAATTGTTGAAAAAATCAATCTCAATTACTTTGAATCTTTTTTAAACTAGTACATTTGAAAACAGTCGCGATTTGTGGATTGAAAGCCACAAATCAGCAAAATTGGTCGAAATTACCCCACTCTACCTTATATATAATAAGGTTTGGATCCAATACTTGTATCTGATATTTTCTCAGACCGAGACACTCACACTATAAAAAACTTACTTGCACCTAATGTGTTTCCCTGTAGTCATGACGACACCAGTGCAGCTGGAATTGAAAAAACATACTATTGAACTCAGACTCTTAGAAATCTTTCAAAATAATGAACTGATACAATTTCTTTAACTCTAGTATAAATTATAAAATCATAAATACATACATGTACATACATATACATATCTACAAAATATAGAATTCTTGTAAATAAACAAGTATAGAACTTGGCAGTAATCATTATACTTGATGAAAAACAATGCTTATCATTCAATGGCATGGTTTTTTGATAAAATGTGAAAGCAAACTACATGTTATCACTGTTGATGACCAGTGAGGCAGCTGGGGTCCTCAGGCAGTAGACACCTCCAAACACAGCACACATCCTATCAAAAACAGTGGCAGGGTACTGTATTGTTAAGTAGACAGGGGCAGTCAAATCCATTCTATTATGCATGTAATCCTGCTTTTTCAGTTTCCTTATTTAGTAACTCTTTGTGACAAAATACAATTTCTTTATTAGCAGGTGTTAACTATATGCAAACATTTTTGGAGCATTTAAAATAAACAATTTATTTTTGATTTCACTTAAATAAGAAGACATATGAAAGGTAAATACATGTAAAATAATCTCTCTACAAAGTGTTTAATTCAATTAATTTATAGCTTGTTTTCATTTAAATGTATTTATATTGTTTATCACAAAGCTTTCTAAATTGGCAGCATCTTGTTGATTGATAGGCAGCTCACCTACAGAAACTCTGGGGCATTTCACCACTTCCATACATTGGCCAAAGAAATGCTGTGTTCCCATAGCGACCAAGAGAATGTAAAAATTTCTGTGTCCTTTTCAGACCCTAACAGAAAAAGCATATTAAATTAACTGTAATAGGTCAGTTTACCATAGATACACAGGGTTGTCCCTAAGACCCGGGAGCTGGGAAATTTCCCAACCTATAATGATGTAATCCCTAGGTTATTGTGGCATTCCTCATAAACTCCTCATTACGGGAAGAACCATAGATCCCCCACTACTTTTTAAATGTGTCCTTCTATTTCAATTCTTATATAGGGACAACCCTGGATACAAAACATTAAATATTGTAATATGTCAAGTCACAATAAATACCGGTACAAGAGATTAACAAAGTTTTAGATACAGTAAAGCAGTATATAGGAAGTACCAGATTTGTACTCTTTAGCATATCTAATATTTCTACAGTTTACTTACTTACATTTTATCTAACAATTAATCTAACAGTTCACTGATCAGTTCATCTGACAGTTTTTACAGTTTTATTTGTCAATTTATCTGACAGTTACCTTATACTCAAGTATAACTTCTAGTTCATCAGACAGTGCACACCCTATAGTTCACCTGACAGTTTACATCTGATCTGATAGGTTGACTGTTTACCTTACATCTGATGGATTATCTTACCTCTGGAGTGAGTGTTGAGTTACTTGTCATTGATATTGCATGCTGAATAAAATGGATGACATTCTTTGACAGTTTTTGGTGTTCTAGATATTCTTTGTATGGTTTCTCAATGAAATCTACATGGTAAAAATTGTAAAACATTTTGTTAATCAAAAAATGGTCTTTGACAAGTTTAACAAAAGCACACAATTTTCAAATTGTATAACATTTGTGTCATATATCAAATGTCAAATATCCAATATGTCAAACATCAACATCACTTTACTTAAAATTTCAGTTTAAAGAGGAATAGAACAACTTGCATAACACTGTATATACATTTTAAATGTTTTAAAATACTGAAATAAAAGAATTCTAGACTGAGTAAAAAAGGCCTGTAGGGAGACTGTACCTGTATAATCGTCCTGATGCTTCTCGTAATCCACACAGAAAGTCAGGAATTTCATCATCATTCTCTTCTCTATCATGGACACGTCTTTACTGCTGAAAACATCGGCTCGAGAGCATGGTACCTGCAGATATAGGGCAAAGTTAAATCTACCTGTATAACATATCACCTTTCAACAAAATGTCATAACAAATGAATTATATTCACATTCTCATAAAACTTGGGTACAGGTACATTACTCTTTGCAACAGAGAAAAAGGCATTGTACTTAATAAAATTCAATTCAATTTTCAAGCTTACTAAAATTAATCTTAAAGAAAAATAGCAGCAATCCATAAAATACCTTTCTTAAATTTCCATCTATCAGTGTGAGTATCCTGGATACTGTTTTAAACTCACAGTACTTGGCAATATCTGATGTAATGAGCAACTCAACCATACTCCCCCCACAATACAGGAGCTAAAATAAGCATACATAATATCACTTCTAAGAGCAAATAGATAAAATAGGAAGGGGGAATGAATATTAAAGAAATTAAATGGCTGGACCAGGAATCAAAACCAAGACTCTGTACCACTACTACTTGTCCAAGACTCTGTATCACTGGTTCTATATGAAGAGGTGAACACACTTACCTTAGGTGACAAGTCGAGATTAAATTTTCTCCACTCCTTTCTTAATCTTGATTCTGTCCAAAGCATGGCTTGTTCATTTGACACAGATGTCAGGTTATTGTTTTCTGATTCAGTATTAGAAGCTGGTTCCTTGCTCGTCTCTCCTTTGAGGATCTGACTGTCCAGTTTTTCTGTTTCAGTATTAGAAGCTGATTCCTTGCTCGTCTCTCCTTCGAGGATTTGACTGTCCTGTTTTTCTGATTCAGTATTTGTAGTAGAAGCTAATTCCTTGCTCGTCTCTCCTTCAGGGATTTGACTGTCCTGTTTTTCTTCTGTACCATGACTGGTCTGAAGAAGATCTTTTCCTTCCTCTGGGATATTTCCTTGATTTATTGTTTCCTTACAGCCTCCTTGATCTTCTGTAGACTCAGTTATTGCTGATGCTCCTACATTCTCAGAGTCACATGGTTCTGTATTTGCTATGGCTGTAGCCACGTTACTCTTACCTGGGTCTGAATCTGGTATTTTCACTTGACTAGAATTATCCTGATCACGATACACTGTGTTGTCCTGATTATCTGAATGGGTCACCTCTTTTTGAAATTTATCAGCAGCTTCTTCATTTGGTTCTTTCTTGACTTCAGTTTCTTGTTTTGGGTCACTAAAAATAGCTCATTTATTAAATGACTATCTCAATTGATTTTTCAGACACTTTAAATCACTCATACAAATTTGCATTATCATTATCTCCAGAAAATTAAATAATATATTTTGAAAGAGATTCACAAGCATACATACATAACTAAAAAGTTACTTCATGTTTATATTATTCATGAGAACTTCATTTTTGCATTGAGACAACTTCAAAAAAAGAAAAAAAGAAAAAAAAATTAAAACAATAATAAAGATGAAAACAATATGATTTAATAAAAGTTATTTTTATTTTTGTTTAAAAATGGGGGATCGGTAAGATAGATCTTTAATAATATACCTAATATGAAACTGAAGTTTGTGTTTACTGTAACTTTTGTCTGTTAAATGCAGATTTATCAACTGTCCCTCAACCTTAACTTCTGAAATGCCACTTCCGTCTTCAGGGGTCTGAGCAGTCTACAATGAATACAGTTATGTAATAAATTTTAGTTTATATCCTTTTTCTAATGCACACATACAGAATATGCAATATGTACCAAGTTCAACCAAAGAGTCAATAACCCAGTTAATAAAATTTATTCAGTGATTCTTTGAAAATTTTGTTTTACTAATAAAAAAGTCTCTACCTGAACCCATTCCTCGATTGACTTCAGGCTGAATGATGCCCATTGCCCACTGTAGTATGGGTTTCTAGAGATCAATGTAAAGTATGGACTTAAATAATGATCATCAGGTCATTGTGAAATAAAGGGTAATTCTAGAATTAAGCATGTTGTTACAAAATAATTAACTTCAATATATATCAACTGATAATGTAGTTAAATTATTTTGTAGCTTTACATCAGATTCTTGGTATACATGTGTCAATGTTCACTTCTTTTAGCTAAATTTAATATAGATACACTATGCATGTAATGCAGCAAGTTTAATTATCATGCATTACTCTTCATTTTCTACATGTGACATATTATCTGATATGCCATATGGCATAAGGAAAATAAAGAATTGAATTATGTTGTATGTTTTATAGTTTGAATATGTAAAAATATCACAGCATGTTTATACCTGTCAATATGTAGAACACTCTGGCCAATGCGTGCATATGCTGCAGCTAAAATGCTCTCTGGCATCCCTGTAAAATAAAAGCATATTCTGAAAAACCTTTGTGCCATTGTTATTTTTGCCCTTTTTATACTCGTTGGTCAAATTTAACTATATCTTGAAGGTAATTCAAGAAATAGCTCACAACTTTCAAGTGACTAATCGTTGGCTAGAATGTATACTGTCTAAAATAATTGCACTGTTTGTGATGCTTTCAGGCAAAATTGCATGGAACAACAGGATTTGTTATCCAAGGTTATGTGATGAAATTAAACTTGACGGAAAAGCTGTGTGATTTTCTGACTGTTCCATAAGTTCGGGATTGGTATACAGACTTTTCTCTTTTCACTGAACACTTTCTTTCTATGTATAGTATTTTGCTACAGTTAATTTTCCTTTAGATGCTGGTTGCCCCCCCCCCCCCTCCCCTTTCACACTTGTCGCGGTAAGTTCGAGCACTGGCAAATTTCAGAATTTGGACAGTTTAGGTTTTTTTTTTGGTTTGTCAGATTCTTTTTGGAAGTCCCCTCCCCCTAACTTATGAAATCATTGTTTCTGGCCTGTTTGGGGCTACAAAAGGCAATTGATTTTTGAACAAAAAGTCAAATTCTTCTTGAAGGAAATTATAAAGCAGGTCAATTCTGGAAAACAAGGTAAATAATAGATTGGCAATAATTCAGCAAAATGTGAAGTAATCATACTTATCCATGCCTCACCATACACAAGGTGGTGTACACTGTACAAATATTCACAAAAAATGGAACAACATCTTTTGTTTAAAAAGTTGTTCAATACCATGCAGCAACGTTTATTATCTTTTTATTTGAATTGCCTTTTTAATAGTTCATAGTACATATATGAACAGTCAAAAAAATTTGTGAAAAACTACTATAGCTATCTCAAGTTATATCTGGCTTAAGCAAGAGATTGTGCTTGTTCAAGTTGTTGTTTTCATACATTGTATCAGTTAAGCTAAAGCAGTTTTCATCATTTTTGGGGTATTGAATTGCAATTTGCAAAAATGGAAAGAGTCAGAGATTACATGCTTTATGGAATTTATGGTGTAAATTATAATAGGTCATTACTCATATCAATGATGACATAGTCTGGACTTGAGTAAGAGAGCTGTAATCTGATCAATAAAATATTAGCTTTAAAATGCATAATTAATCACTCAACATAATGTATTGAATTTTTAAATCATAAAGGGTCAAATACAATTTTTAAAAGGCGAAATATATAGAATACCTGTCCCAATAACCACGACATCAAATTCGTCTGGCAAATCCTCTGCCATGATGATTTGTTTACTCCTATTTCTGACCGCAGTTTCGTAAATATTAATCTGAATGTTCCTCCCTAATAAAATCAGATTTAAGTTTAATTTTGTAGCTCATGAATATAAGATATTTTTTTATGAATTGATGCTAGCTATTTATTAAATACACAGCTTACAGGTATTCTTTCACGTCATATACGAAACAATGCAAAAAGAAAGTTCAAGGACACGCCCCCTTTTGTGAATGTGAAAGTAGAACGAAAAGTAAAATCAAAAATGTTTAGTTGACGGCTGTTAAACTTGACGGTAAAAGTAAGCATTTTTCCATTCATGAATTTGATATTGTTGTCATGATATGAACCGCTGGGTGAAGAAGCCGAGCCAGCTTCTTGAAAGATTCTTTATAATAAGGGATAAACACTGATAACACTGAAACTCAAAATACATCCTAAAGGAACCCTTTTGGTTGTATATATTTGTCAAAATAATCTTAATAAATTACTTCGAAATATAAAGATTATATATTTTCACATATTTTTCAAGGATTTCCACACATCAGCTGATCGACAGAACTTGTACCGGTACATACCTAGAACAGGTCAGAAATCAAAAATAAAATTCTGTTTCATTCCTTTATTTGCACAACAATCATGCCTGCACCTTGTATATTATTGTAAAATAGGGGATTAACTATGTCTTGCCTACCTTTAAGTTATTAAGGTACATAACCTGATGACTATATCACTCACTTCTTCATTTATATTGATAAACACTGGTACAAATGACACAGAACAGGTATCATAGTAAAGAGTTTGACTGCTACTTGTCTTGACTGGTGTGGGAAATATGCAGTCATGGGTAAATGGCTACAAGATCAGGGTTTAAGGTCATTTTGAATATATAATTTTATTGAAGGCATTTTTAATGCAATATTATGTACAACATGAAGTTAAAAGAAAAGTCATAATATAGATTTTTTTCCAGGTATGTCTGAACTTGGAAAAGCTGATTTTGGATTGACCACATTTTTTGCACGTAGTCATCCAAATGACAAGTGTGGAGCCAATGGACTACCTTTGACACCAAATTCTATAAAAATTTTGGGAAGATTTGAGCACTTGAAAACCATCAGCCATGAAAATGTTTGCAAATACTTAGACATTCAAAGAGGCAAACATGGTCAGTGATAGTTGTATTCATTGTTGAAATACATAATTCAGATCTTTGCAAAATTAGCAATTGTGGATATAAGCACAAAATTCATGGTGTATAATTTGTTTACTTTTGTTAATATTTCCTTTACTTTATTTTGATTAATTTTTTTGGGTTGATGTCTCCTAGGGATGTGCGATGGTATACCAATATATCGTGATTTTTTTAGTGCGCGATCTTGATACAGAGACTAAAATACCGGTATTAAGTACGTAATTAAAAATTCCGAAAATTACAATTACAGGAATTGTAAAAAATGTTGTAAAATAGTAAAACAATGGTATCCTAGCATCCAAACATGTTTATTAATAAAAATGAAAAAAAGTGAACTTCATATGTTTTCACACTATATATTTTAGAAAAAATTATGGAAATTCATGGAAGATCATAATAAAAATTATGAGAACAAATATCATGATATTATTCTGATATTTTTTGAAAAATTGTGATATATTGTGATACAAAATTTTTGGCAATACCCATCCCTATTATCTCCCCAAATTTGATTTTTTTTGTTCTCAATTGAAAGGTCCAAACACTGAATGTTACTTTAGCAGAGTACGTGCACCTGTAGAAAATAAGCTGATGACAAAGGAACCTATAAAAGCTCATCAAGACTGAGCATGGATTTATTTTCAAGAATAATAAAACCTTGAAGAAAATTTTCAATAATAAACTTGCTGCAGTATTGGTGCTATACCTATTATGATCATGTTAACTTTCATGGATTTGATTTAATTTTTTTTAATTTTGTAGAACGACTATTGGTTGTCACAGAACATTACCAGCAATGTCTGAAGAATGTTGCCAAGTCAGGCAAATATACTTGGTGAGATATTGCCATAACAATTCCTTTGCTATTTAAAATTTCATTTTTTTATGACTCATTTCATTACCCTGATTCTTTTCACTCTTCATTGAATTGAATATTGCATTAATCAATGCCCTAGCTTACTGGCCAACCTTTTTAAAGCTGATTGGTTGATAAGCAGAGTCAAAGAAGTACAAAAACACAAAATATGTGTAGCTATAATCAGATTTAAATTTGTAATATTCCAAAAGAATCTTCACTTCTACAGACATAAGGGACTTGTATACTATTTTATTATACCTCTACTGTCGTTACTCCATATAAAATGAATACCATAAAACTGTCTATTTCCTACATGTAGTTATCTGCTGTCATGTACAAGTTGTTTGTTTTTCAACTAATCAGCAGCCAGGAAGATGGCCAATGAATGAAAATGATAGAATAGAATGAAGGATAGCACAAAATGTTATGTAATGTAAAAAGAAACACAGTAAGGCATAATAATTACCCAAAATTGAAAGTTGTGACAAATTTAAAACATTCTATAATTAATGCAATAAAAAAAATTAAGTAGGACAGAAATCATCGTCGCAAACCACGGCTAAAATGTACGACCTTTCAATATCCAATAGCAGTATACGAAACATTTCTTGTATACTGTTGATGTCAATTGTTGATTTCAATAGCGATGGAAACAAATATTGTCATTGGCTGAACTTGACGTCACAATATAAAGGCGTAAATATTCAAGATTACGACACTTTTTTTGATCAAGCAGCCACAGGTAGGAGAGAGCTATATGCAGACTCCGGACCGTGGCTTAAGACGATGGACAGAAATACAATACATTTATCTTTATCTGCCATTATCATTAAGAACATGATGATACAGAACTAAATGTATTTGATCTAAGATTTTCTTGTACAATATATACCAGTAATGCATTTGAATTATTTTTATTAAGTAGGCCTACTGTAAAATCACTTATTTTGGTTTAAAGAAAAAATATTGGTTCCTGGGGATTTGATTTCATGGATGGTAGAAAACATTTTACTGTACCAGAGGTGTGTTCAGCAGAGCGAGCGCTCGCTCTGTTGAACACACCTCTGGTACTATAAAATCTTAACATTTCTAGGAGGACATGAGTTCATGGGTCTCTTCAAACCATGAAAACAACAAAAATTACCCCCCCCCCCATCCCACCTCCAACCCCCCGTGAATGTTTGAGATTTCACAGTTTATTATACCTTTAGTCTTATATGTGTAATAACTCAATTTAAGAGTAAACATTGTTTTAGTGAGGAGAATCTGGTGTCATTGGCATATGGGATTGTCAAGGGACTGACCTATCTTAATAAAAACCGAATCACACACAGAAATCTGTCTCAGGAGAATATCTTATTCAATGCCAAGGTATGTTCTAAATGTGGTATTCATTTATCAAAAATAAACATTTGATTCTATTTTGCTCATTGTCTGTACGAGAAATTTTACTCACAGTGGCTGTACACGAAATATTACTGCTACATGTAACTTTGATACTTGAGTGTTTGATAAATTTTTCTTGTTTAAGTATTGATTGATTATATTGGGAATTTTTGTATGCCTATGTTAAATCATGGAATCATTGTCTGACTTTGCATGTGAGGTGCAAAAAGTAATTAAATATTTATATTGGAATTCAATTACAGCTTCATGTTTGAAAAATGTTTATTTCTTGAAACAAATATAGCTGTATGTTTAAAAGTGTTTATTTCTTGAACCCAATTTTTTGCTGTGGCATCACATGATGTCAGTGTGATGTCATTTTGTATTTCACAGATGCAAGTTGTTTATACATGTATATTTATATGTATTATAAAGAAAATAATATAGAATGAACAATATTGATTGTTGTGTACCTCAGTGAGCAGTGTTTTAATATAGGGGCAGGTAAAGCTGTCGGAGTATGGGTTGTATTACATGACAGATTATGGGGCAGATGTGGCGTTTCCTATAGGGTGAGTACCTCATTGGTTTGTGGGATATTAATTTTTTTCAAAATGCAACCTGATTTTTTCCCTCAAGTTTTTAAAACTGTAGCACAAGACAGCTGAAAAAGTCTCAGTAAACCTGTACCATATTCTAGAAAATAAGCACCCAACACAGCATTCTCTCTCTCTTTTAGTTAAGGATGAGGTATAGACTATAAATGCCCATGATAACATGAACTTAATCTGCATTATGAACCTAATTTTAAATTAAAGGGGGTTAAGCATATAATTTTCATCTTCCTATGTTTGACTTTTAGACACCCTCAGTACCTATCCCCCGAGGTGCTGTGTGAGTTCCCTATTCAGTATGATGAACATTCAGAGTCTGAACCCACTGTACTAACCCCCTCAGGACCAAAGTCCGATGTCTGGTCACTAGGCCTGATTCTGATCGAGGTGTTCACAGTGAGTATATATCTGAAATGAAAAATCTGATTTTTTTATCAGAGCTTTTTTTTTAAGACACTACCAATTCAGTATATATCCATGTATAACTAATATTCTTTCTTCCATTACTGTTACAGGGAGAAGAATTTTGGGGTGATCTTACCATGCCTCAGACTTTTTTCAAAATTTTAAGCTTCATCAACTCAGGTTAGCAGTATTTAACACATTTATAAAAAAATAAACTTAATTAACACTGTACGTATATACATGTGTGTTTCAACTCCATTGTCACACATCATACATGTCTACTTTTCTGAGGGCTCAGTTTTCTCTTTGTATTAATGTTGTATGGAAATAATCCATTTTCATGCAAGTCAGTCGAGGTATGACTTATAGTTAGATGGGAATGGACTTGCTCCCAAAATATTACTGTGGTCATTCATCTAGAGAATACAGGTCAGATGCAGTATAAAAACAGGATGCATAGTGAGCATTGTTAGCTGTATCATCCATGCAAGATTGGTCCATGAAGGGCCTAAATATCAGCATAATGTTGTAACAGCAACAAAGTCCTGAAGCATGAATACAAGGGGCATATGAATGATAGTAATCCCTAGGAACTTGTACATTATTGGTGAAAGTCTCATTATTGTAGGGGTTATAATCACAAAGAAATAGACCTGCTCCAGAAGCATTGGCTAGTCATTCATCTGGAAAATAAACTAAGTTGGTGCATGCATATAAGGCAATTTTACATGCAGAAACATCCCTAGATGCATTATACTACTTCAGTTTAGTCTGGGTAGGACTTGCAGTCTCCTAGAAATAGACCTGCTTTAAATATTATAAAGTGGACCTCCCCACCACATGATAGTATAGGGTAGGGGCAGCATGTGATACAGGGAGATTAGCATCCCTAGTTGTGTCATACCTGCAAGTTAGGTCCAGGCAAGGCTCGCAGTTTTTTTGGAAACATGCTAATGGAACCATGGGTATAGCATAAGATATTAACATATTTGTTGAGTGAGCTGAAAGGATTTTTATGTTATTTTTCCCTCAGATATTCACCCCTTAGACACAATTTGCAAAGATCTGAATGTGGAGAGCCATATCAAGGTAAATTTTATCATCATTCAACTGTTACAGAATAATGTTCTTTATGTCAAAATTTCAGTTTGAAAATTAATTTAAATGAGTGTTATTCTCATTCAAGCCAAAGGCAGTGTTTTCTACTTACCACCGTTTAGTCAATCTAGCTAAGACCTTTGCAGTATTTACCCTTTAGTTAGAAATAATTTATTTGAAATGAGAGAAATATGGAAAAATTATTTTTATTTTTAATTACAGTCCCTTTCACGAGATTTTATTGACTTTCTGAGACAATGTTTAGCTGCTTCACCAGTAGACAGGTACTGACGGTATTACAGTTGTCATTCTGTCTATCATAAAAATTATTGTAGTAATCTTTATCATTTAGTACACATAACAGTAATCTTTATCAGTACACATAACAGTAATCTTTATCAGTACACATAACAGTAATCTTTATTAGTACATGTAACTGTAATCTTTATCAGTACATGTAACAGTAATCTTTATCAGTACATGTAACTGTAATCTTTATCAGTACATGTAACTGTAATCTTTATCAGTACATGTAACAGTAATCTTTATCAGTACATGTAACTGTAATCTTTATCAGTACATGTAACAGTAATCTTTATCAGTACATGTAAACGTAATCTTTATCAGTACATGTAACAGTAATCTTTATCAGTACATGTAACAGTAATCTTTATTAGTACATGTAACAGTAATCTTTATCAGTACATGTAACAGTAATCTTTATCAGTACATGTAACTGTAATCTTTATCAGTACATGTAACAGTAATCTTTATCAGTACATGTAAACGTAATCTTTATCAGTACATGTAACAGTAATCTTTATCAGTACATGTAACAGTAATCTTTATTAGTACATGTAACAGTAATCTTTATCAGTACATGTAACAGTAATCTTTATCAGTACATGTAACTGTAATCTTTATCAGTACATGTAACAGTAATCTTTATCAGTACATGTAACAGTAATCTTTATCAGTACATGTAACAGTAATCTTTATCAGTACATGTAAACATAATCTTTATCAGTATATGTAACAATAATCTTTATCAGTACATGTAACAGTAATCTTTATCAGTACATGTAACAATAATCTTTATCATGTATGTACTTGTATAACTTACATGTATCTAATGTTATAACAGCAATTTTGGCTATAATTTCTGATATTACAGTAATACTGAAAATTACGATTCAGTTGAAAATTATATATTCATGTACTAGCACTTAAATCATTTGAATTTTACACTGTATATGCTTTACAATGCAGATCAAACCCAGCAAAATTAATGGAACACTCCCTGTTTAGAGACTTAAGACAGAGTGATGTGAGTACTAGGATCATTATGTTTATACATGTAAAACTATAACTCATATATACATGTAGCAACTATTAAATCTGTGTGTAAATTCTTTTTAATTACAGATTACATACATTTATTTTGGTTTAGATGATAACTTTTACTCAAAAATTACCATAGTCAAATAATTGATGGAAATATTTCAGGTCAAATATCACAAAATCAAAATTTAAATACGTTGTAGGTAAAAACGAAAAATGGATACAGACCATTTTCATCAGATCTACGCAGCCTGGACTTAGAACTGCCTGTACTAGGACAAAATGGGTACAATATAAAAGGTATTAAAGGTTCATATACAAATACAAGTACAATATAAAAGGTATGAAAGGTTCATATGTATACAAGTACATGTACAATATAAAAGGTATGAAAGGTTCATATACAAATAAATGTACAATATAAAAGGCATGAAAGGTTCATATACAAATTCATTCAATATAAAAGGTATGAGAGGTTCATATACAAATACATGTACAATATAAAAGGTATGAAAGGTTCATATACAAATATGTATACAATATAAAAGGTATGAAAGGTTTATATAAAAATTCATGTACAATATAAAAGGTATGAAAGGTTCATATACAAGTACATGTACAATATAAAAGGTATGAAAGGTTCATATACAAATTCATGTACAATATAAAAGGTATGAAAGGTTCATATACAAATTCTTGTACAATATAAAAGGTATAAACAGTTCATATACAAATACATGTACAATATAAAAGGTATGAAAGGTTCATATACAAATACATGTACAATATAAATGTATGAGAGGTTCATATACAAATACATGTACAATATAAAAGGTTTGAGAGGTTCATATACAAATACATGTACAATATAAAAGGTTTGAGAGGTTCATATACAAATACATGTACAATATAAAAGGTTTGAGAGGTTCATATACAAATACATGTACAATATAAAAGGTATGAAAGGTTCATGTACAAATACATGAACAATATAAAAGGTATGAAAGGTTCATATACGAATACATGTACAATATAAAAGGTATGAGAGGTTCATATATGAATACATATGCAATATAAATGTATGAAAGGTTCATATACAAATACATGTACAATATAAAAGGTATGAACAGTTCATATACAAATACATGTACAATATAAAAGGTTTGAGAGGTTCATATACAAATTCATGTACAATATAAAAGGTATGAAAGGTCATATACAAATACATGCACAATATAAATGGTATGAGAGGTTCATATGCAAATGCCTGTACAATATAAAAGGTATGAAAGGTTCATATACAAATTCATGTACAATATAAAAGGTATGAAATGTTCATATACAAATTTTTGTACAATATAATAGGTATAAACAGTTCATATATGAATACATGTACAATATAAAAGGTTTCAAAGGTTCATATACAAATACTTGTTCATTGTTTGAGGATATAAAAGTATGGCAACAAAATTAACTGAACATTTGTTTACATTAGGTATACAATTGAACTTGAGTATCTTGAATATGGATATCTCGAATACCATGGATATGTAGAAGTGAATTGGAAGTTCCAACCTCTTATTCTTTAAGTATTTTACCCTGGATATCTTGAATCCCTTGATATCTCCAAGTATTTTCTCGGTCCCTTTGAGTTTGAGATAACGAGGTTTGACTGTATTTAATAGTGTAGTGTCTTGCACTGCTTATTTTCAAAGCCCCCCAAAATTACCTGTGCATTACTTTTATTGATAGAGTATTTTATTACTGAAGATTACTTAACCTGTACATGTGTATAATAAATACCCAAACATGTCTGTGAAGACTAGAAGATGTTTTTGTAGGTATTATAACAGATGTGTTTGTATATTTAGATTATAATGAGGACCACCTGTCTTTGAGGTCTATGGAAGAGGTGTACTACTTATGGCGACTAGCAGGAGGGGAATTGTTTGGTGCACTGAAGAAGGAGGGATTGGTCAAAACTAAGCCCCCCATCCATCTCTTGCCATAGTAAGTGGGATCTAATAATGACATTCCCAGGAAAACATCGGGAGAAAATCACTTAATTTATAAAAACAATTTAATTCATTTACACATTTGTATATAAAAATTACATCTAGTTAATGTTAATACATGTACATGTATATTGCAAATTAGGCGCACAATAAGCTCACAACTTTAAACTGACAGAAAATGAAATGTTTGTTAACAGTTATTCAACACTGGATGGTGAAGTTTTTGGTCAGAGGAGAGACCAGGCAGAATTGTTAGATGGGACCATCATAATTCTGTCTCAGGAACAACTCAGGAAGGTAGTCATACACTCAGTAATGACAAACAAACCATATAATACATTATTTCTGCAGTTGTCCATTTTTTGCTCAATTTTGTGGTTCTGTCAAAATCCCTAAAAATATAATTGCAAAAAATATTCAGATTTTGTCTTTCTGTTTTTGCAATTCTAAACCAGTCAAAAATATTGCAAATGAAATTCGACTACAACTTCTTCTGGTCTGAGATCAGAAAAGCTTATGCGATAGTAAGGTGTCTGTCCGTCCATCCTACCTGTCTGTCCATCTGTTAAAAAAATTTCAAAATGCTACTCTTCCTATAGATTTGGTCTGATTTAAATATAACTTGACACACAAGTAGAGAAAACTAAGATGCATATTTTTTTTGGATTGGCTTTTGATTTTGTTGAACAGTGTTGCCATGGTTACTAAAATATAGAAATTTTCTGTGATTTACTTTAAAAATGCTTCTCCTTATACAGTTCTGGTCTGATTTCAATATACCGTGGCAAACACGTAGATATACTAAGATACATAATTCTATTTATAAATTTTTGCTTTCAATGAACAGTGTTGCCATGGTTACTGAAAATAAAGATTTCTGTTAAATACTTTCAAACCCCAACTCCTCCCATAATTTTGGTCTGATTTCAGTATAACTTGGCACACAAGTAGATTGTACTGAGATACAAACGGTTATTCTATATATCATTTTTGATTTTGTTGAACAGTGTTGCCATGGTTACTAAAAATAGAAATTTCTGTGAAGTTCTTTCAAAAGACTACTCCGTGTACAGTTTAAGTCTGATTGCAATAAATATTGCCACAAAAAGAGACTAAACCAAGGATCATTATTCTTTTTTTTGCTGTCGCATACTTTCAAGTCCAAGGGCTACTTTTTCTTTGATAAGCACAAACCAGGAAAGCTATAGTCCTCATCAGAGACTTCTGGCTAAACATCATGTTGCAAAAATTTGTAGCATAGAAATAATCCTTTATAGGGTATAACTTGCTGTCTTAATAAGAGGAACTTTTTAAAGTATTTGTTCAATTTATTGAATTTTACAGAGATTAAGTGAAATAGAAGAAACAGCATATTATCCCCTGCTGGAAGATGAGTGAGTTATCTATTTTTGAAATTCTTTGCATTTATTGCATTTTATTTTTTTAAAAGCATGACATTAAAAAATACAAAGATTAGTTTTTTTCTCAAATTACTTGTTGTAGAAGTGTACCTGTATTTACTTCAATTATCATGACAGTGTGATTTTATGTTTCATATGTCACAGAAATAGCCAGGTTTCACCGACCCTCCCATCATCTCCTAACAACTCTGAAATTTCTGAGACAGCTAACCTACCTCTAGTCATCAGAGAAAGAGATGTGGAATATCAGGTAAGGGCTTATATTGTTTAGAAGTCAATACTGCATATTAAGTATGTGTCACTGGTTTTCTGTCATGTCAAAAATTCATATGTGCTTTGATTTATTCTCAAATTACCAATGGTGTGTTCTTTTTACCAGTTTCACAGAATTATCCTATATGAGAGATTGATAAAAGGATATCCTTACAAGAAAAATCACATCCTGAAGGAGGCCAGAGTGGACATTCCCCCTCTGGTTAGAGCCCATGTCTGGGTGGCTCTTCTGGAGGTGGAGGTAAACTAAAACCTTTGTTAAAGTACTTCTTATCGGCAGCAGGAGTGGCTGATCTATTTGTGGTTGTTTTTGAAAGTGCACATTGGGAATTGAGATGTTATTTTTTTATTGGTTTGATAGAATAAATCCTTAATGGTAACAAAATATGATTATGAAGAAATGAACCCTTATCATTATGAGTGTCCAGATATTAATTACAGTGCCAAACTGTAAATAAACACAGATTTTCTTAGAACTACATGTAGTAAATTGTTTTACGTCCTGCTCGTCTGGAGATCATTCAAACATTCCTGATTATATATGTCTAGTTTATATTACATTTGTCTTTTTCACTGGGATCAGTATTCAGTAATACAGTCATGTCCTATATATCTCTTGTTTTCATTTCAATGAATGAATTTATTTTGATTTAAAATGCACTGAAAAATTCAAGTTGTGGCATATTTCTGTTTATGTTGGAATTTGTGTTATTTAAAAATGTTTATGCTTTTTATTGTACTTTGAAATCAAAATATTGAATATTTCAAACTAAAAATTCATGAGCGTATTCCTCATACTTTTTCTTTAAAATATTTAAATATGATGCTTTGCACCTTTGCTATGGTTTTGATCTGTAATAACCCTGTTTTCTATATTCTCTGTAGGGTGATATATACTCTAGATATGATGCGATAGATAAGGAGACCCCCACCACCACTGATAGACAGGTCAGTACTATACAGCATAGTGTGACTGAAGTGCAACATTCCAAAAACTAAAAGATTACCCAATAATTATATACATGTAGTATTTGCTGTAGGTATGTGTATCATTTTAAAGTGAAATTCTCATTACTTTTGGTTTCAGATAGAGGTAGACATACCCCGTTGTCATCAATATCATGAACTTCTGTCATCTCCTACTGCCCATTCCAAGTTCAAGAGGGTCCTCAAAGCGTGGGTGGTCAGTCACCCTCAGTATGTATACTGGCAGGGTCTCGACTCCCTCTCAGCCCCCTTCCTGGCCCTCAACTTCAACAATGAAGGTAGAAGTTATCATTTTGATTTGAAGTTTATCTAATTTTTTCATATTGAGAAGTGCAAAAAAATTAATAAGCAACAAACTGAAATTAATAAATATTAAACTTACATAATCATGTTTTAAATTTTTTTTCAGCACTGGCTTACACCTGTCTCTCGGCATTCATTCCAAAATATCTACACAATTTCTTTTTGAAAGACAACTCTCAGGTTATACAGGGTAGGTGGAAATATCTGTATCATCTAAGTCAACAAGGTCACATTTTGCCGTCAAACCTATTTCCATTCATTTTTGCCCACTGGTTTGTGTTCTATGTACACAATTTGAGTTTAATTAAGTTACCTTACTTTTAGACATTTGACCTATGTATTGATTCTGTGGATAATTTTTTTTCTCATCACTATCTTTCGATTAAAACTCACATAAAATAATGTTGGCTTCCTTTTAAGGTTGACCTTTGGCTCTAAAATAGCTAAACAATGGGCATAAATCACTGTTAATGATAATTACAGTGTATTAGCTCACCTGAGCTGAAAGTTCAAGTGAGATTTTCTGATCACGCATTGTCCATCGTCTGTCCATTCGTCTGTAAACTTTTCACATTTTCAACTTCTTCTCAAGAACCACTGGGCCAATTTTAACCAAACGTGGTACAAAGCATCATTGGGTAAAGGGGAGTTTAAATTGTTAAAATGAAGGGCCATGCCCCCTTCAAAGGGGAGATAATCAAGAAAAGACAAAAATTGAGTGGGGTCATTAAAAAATCTTCTTCTCAAGAACCACTGGGCCAGATAAGCTTAAACTTATGTAGAAACATCCTTGGGTAGTGTAGATTCTAAATTATTCAAATCATCACCCCCGGGGGTAGGGCGGAGCCACAATAGGAAATCCAAGTTTTACATTGAAATATGTAGTAAAAATCTTTAAAAATCTTCTTCTCAAGAACCACATGCAGGGCCAGAAAAGCTGAAACTTATGTGGAAGCATTCTGGGGTAGTGTGGATTCTAAATTGTTCAAATCATGACCCCTGGGGGTAGGGTGGAGCCACAATAGGAAATCCAAGTTTTACATTGAAATATGTAGTAAAAATCTTTAAAAATCTTCTTCTCAAGAACCACATGCAGGGCCAGAAAAGCTGAAACTTATGTGGAAGCATTCTGGGGTAGTGTGGATTCTAAATTGTTCAAATCATGACCCCTGGGGTAGGGCGGGGCAACAATAAGTACTACAGGGTGAGGGGGGGGGGGGGAATCAGGTGAAAAACAGCAAGGCCAAAGTTACTTAGGTGAGTGTTGTGACCCATGGGCCTCTTGTCTTCACTGTTGCTGCAAAAGTACTGTATAGAGAAACAAAGTTGCCTTATTTTTAATTGAAAATTGTTCATAGAATGTGACACCTGAACTGGTATATAATTGCAGTCCATGTTTCTGTCTAAATGCCTTGTCTAATGGGCAGGTAACATAAGATGGAGAATGCTAATCAAAATATCATTTATTGAATAGTGATTACAGGAAAACTTGGTTATAACAAAGTATTTGGGACCTGTGAATTTGCTATGTCCATAGTTCACTATGTATATAAATTCATTATTAGTTCATTATAATCATAAGATTTTACAAAGAATTGTTGAAAAATTTTGCTAGAGATCCAAAAATAACTTAGCTTTATTGATAAATTTGTTATATCCATATTCATGTTGACTAAACAAGTTTTACTGTACTTTGGTACATGACCATACTGCCATAGTGAATTTTTGTTTGTATATGTAAACACTTAAGCCTGTTATACATGTATTACAATATATTTTTAGAGTACCTTGCTGTATTCTCTCATCTGATCACATTTCATGACCCTGAACTCAGCAACCATTTAGATGGGATTGGGTTTATACCAGATGTAAGTTGTCAAAGATTTTACAATTCTAATGCAAGTTACAAAAATTAAGTAAATGAATAGGCTTAACAGTATTCCATTTTTAATTAACATTTTTTTTTTCCAGTTGTATGCAATCCCATGGTTCCTCACAATGTTTGCTCGTAAGTACAAATTTACAAAAATATATGTCATATGTTTAAATTAAAGTTTAATGATACGCTATGTAAGATACATTCTGGTAGTCAAGACTTACATTGTATAGATTATTATATCTGATTCTCAGAGAATTTTTATAATAACATGGTTTGATAATAGTATCTTCCTTCAACAGATGCCTTTCCAATTCATAAACTGGTTCATCTTTGGGATACACTGCTACTGGGCAACTCGTCTTTCCCTCTGTGTATAGGTGTAGCCATACTGCAGCAGTTCAGGGACCGTCTACTTTCTTATGGATTCAATGAATGTATTCTGTTGTTCTCAGACATGCCAGGTTATTTTTAGATCAGTTTTAAACAGTTTTCTGTTCTGATGAAAATGTGGTATTGACTATAATTAATATTAAATTAAATGGTCTATATTTGATAAATTTAAGATGCTACACTTTTGTGGAAAACTAAATTTATCTGACCAATGATTACATAGTAACTTTTTTTTTAACAGAGATAGACATACAGAGATGTGTACAAGATTCCATCAAGATTTTCTGTAGCACTCCAAAAAGTGCCACATTCCGACAGTATGCTAGGGAACCAAATAAACCCTCTGACAAGCCTAATGTATCTTATTACTCCAAGGACTACAATGAACAACCAAAATCTGAACTGGTACCTATATTAAATATTCAATTTTACAAAATTCTCTCTGTAGATTTTATGAGACAAGGGAGGTAAATCTAACTAGCAGAGTTGACTTGATTTAACATTCATTTAATGGGTATATCCAAGTTGAATATCTTTTAAGTACTTGTTCATTTTTGTAATTTCTTTGTTTGTAGTCAATGGAACCAATTAAAGTTGAGGAGCTGAAATCGGAAAAATGCTGTCGAATATCTGCGGAGGATTTGATAGAGTTGGGTGAACTTTGTGGCCCGGCTTCTACCAGAAGTCCCACCAAGAGAAGAGTGAACAGCAAACCAATGATAATCGTGATTGACACTAGGAACCCTGAGGAGTATCCTTATATTAATGATTCTAAACAACTTTACTGAGGCAATGATTACTGTAAACCAACTATTTTTCGCGTCATCTTTTATTCGCGATTCTTCTGTTTGAAATCAATCCGCGACGATTAATTTTCGCGACTTAGGAAATATTCTTTATAAATACATATCAAAATTTATGGATCGCAGCGATTAATATTCGTAAGTTAAAGAAGTTCGCGAAACTCGCGGATATTTCTCGAATACGAATAAAGGTTGGTTTACAGTAGTTTCCATTATGGCTAACAACATTGGTAGTTTCAATAATTTTTGTTATTTTGTGGCTGCATATTTCACAGAGGTACAATTTGAAATATGTAGGGTAAGAGAAGGATTAAGATATTTTTTTCAAGTTCAGTTAAACTTGGGTTCTTGAACACTGATATCTCAAATACCATGGATATGTTGAAGTGATTTGGAAGTCCCAACCCCTTATTTTTTAAGTATTTTACCCTGGATTTCTCGAATCCTCGGATATCTTGAAGTCTCTTCATAGAGTTCAAGATAACGAGGTTTGACTGTATTTTACAAATACATATTTTATTTAAATTCCTTAATTTTTAAAAGCTTTGCTAAGGGGACCATTCCTGGAAGCATCAACATCCCATTTCCTTCTGCCTTTTCTCCTGAAGGAGATCTGAATCCTTGTCCTGCAGTAAATACACTGAATCAAAATAAAGGACTGATCAAGGTCATTGTAGGGAGCAGGGGAAAGAACTCTTGTAATGTAAGTATACAGTATACCTATATATAATTATATCTCTACTAGCAGTATGACAATTCCCTCAACTATGAAAGAAATTAGTACATGTTTATACCTTAGATTGAATCATGCCATAACCCATGATAATATAGCAGACTAAATCATTGATGCTTTCTACATATTCAACATGTACTACAAAGTATCTGCACTGTACCAATTATGTTTTGCAAAGAAATTGTGTAGTATTTATGAAGTCTAATACAACACAATGTACATGTATTACAGTTTGCTTGTAATATCTATAAAGTATCATGCAACACAATGTACATGTATTACAGTTTGCTTGTAGTATCTATAAAGTCTTGTACAATACAATATACATGTATTACAGTTTGCTGCTGACCTTGTGCGGCTGGGATACCAGAAGGTGTGTGTGTTACATAAAGGCATTGATGTCCTGAGGTCTACAAACATTCTGACTGTACCCCCAGCAGATTACTTCTGAAGACAAAACACTAGGCTAAGGACCAACACACAAGGGAAAATTCTGTCTCATTACATTGCAGTGACACACATTTTAGAATTTTTCAGAGATAGCTCACTTTGAAAACACACTATTAAAGAAATTCAACAACGGATGGACCAAATTCATAAATCAAAATTGTGCATCAAAAGGAGGGGTTGTAAATGTCTGAAAGGTTTCCAGTCTCTACAAACAATACTGTGGTTTCATCATTATTCGTGGAACACCAATTTTCGTGGATTTCGTTGTTGAGTCGATCCACGAAATCAAATGTTCATCGAAGTTTGGTGCCTCCATTTTGATTTATGATAAACCTTTAAAAAGCCTATTATGACTTTCGTTAATATATGTGAATACCCCCCTTTCCCCAAAGGGTGGCTTTATAAATGTATTTTATCGTTTTAAAGAATATTTTTTTTAAAAATACTGTTTGATAATTATCTGGCAATTTTTAGCAAAATATATTTAAATATTCTGCACGGAGATAAACAAACAAAATGTACGTAGAACCGCGGTTCATATACTAATCAGAGGTATAACACAAAAGGTGATAAATAATCAGGCTTAAATGTGTAAATTTGTTATTCTCAAACAACCTAACTGTCCAACACCAATTATCACCTACACAGTGAGAACGCAAATTACCGTAAAATAAAAATTTCGGTAGAAATAATTAATTACTCTCTGTTCATAATTGGCTTAAAAATACAAATTATAAACACAATTTTATGCTAATTTGACTTTGAAACAATTTTTTTGTTAAACATGAGAAAGCGGGTACATGTATGTATGTTCGGAAGTCCTGCCATTTCGAAGCCCTTCAAGGTTTGTTTGTCGTCCATTTTGCATGTTTAAGCGTTGCGTCGTATCCAGCGAGCGTGGATGTGTTTGTTCAGAGATCTGCAAACAAGGGGGTCTGGATGTCACTGTCGAGTCCAAAAACAACACGCTGTGCATGTGAAAAAAGTCCCTAACACCACTTTGTAAATTTAAGTACTTAATTATTTTTGTTACTTTTTAATGCCCTGGTGCCAACTTAATTATCGTCCGTATGTGCACCTAAAAGATAAAATCCAAATTGTCTTAATATTTTAAGATACTTGCACACCTTTTAACCGAAACGTTGATTAAATTAAAGTCTATTTTAATTGATTGTTTTTAATAATCTGTTTCAATATCAGATATTTAATTTGCCAGTTGAGATCATAGTCTTACAATGGAGACGGTGTTTGGAATTCCTCACCCTTTATTGTTATACCATGTACACTGCGTTGTAAACGCTTGAAGGTTCCGACTTTTAAAATACAGATGAGTAAAATAAAAAGAATAAATTAAAGAGTTGTCACCTGTAAGTAATTGTTTTAAAATATTAACATACTCTTAACATTGTAAATGGCGTGAAGATTCCCGCTGAAGCATACAGAGAGTGAAAAAAAATTAAAAGGTGATTTTTTTTATATGATCATTATCCATGAATTTACGTATCCTCGAAACAGTGATTTTTACTAAATCCACGAAAATTGATGCCCAAGAATATTAATGAAACCACAGTATATAGTTTAATCGTGCAATATTGTTGTGATTTTTGTTGAAGATTGTTTATTAATTTTACTAATAAATATTTAAATAGTCACCTTTTATTTTATTTTATAAAAATAACATGAACATGTACACATAAATTGTATATGTTTATTTGGTAATATTAAAGTATATGATATGCAATTTGGAGAGTAAAGAAATCCACAGATTATTGGATTTGAAATTGGATACTGGTGCATTATGTCTTCTTTTTTTTTAATCAAGTCCTTATTATATACATGTTTTCATATCTTGTCCATGAAGCTAAATGCACTTTTTTGAACAATGTAAATGCAGATTTTAATATCTTTACACAATAATCATGTACATAAAAATTTCAAAATGCTAGAAATCACAGAAAAATATGAAAGACCATTGGCATCAAGTCTGTTTAGGTTATACACATTTCACTGAAAATAAATTAACTTTACTGGGATTGTCCATCACAGAATAGTGGAATGTACCAATACCAGCACCATGACATGCTGCACCTACAGTATGAAAAAATAGTGAATAAACTGATTCCCCTCTATTTTAAATTACATCAATATACTGAATAGATGGTATGATAAGCCAAATTAAAAATTTGTAGGTAATTGTGCAGGTGAAGATCAAAGTGTATAATAGTTACCATGTTCTCCTTTATGGTTTACTGCAATAACAGCACCATCGAAATCAGGAAAGTACTTGATGATTGGCTTGATGGAGGACAAAGCTGCATTTGAGGGGCTCATGCCACTCCCCATCAACTGTACAGCTGTGTACCTAAAAGATAGAGATGTCACATTAACTGTACAGTAATGACTTAAATAAAGAGATGTCACATTAACTGTACAGCTGTGTACCTAAAAGATAGAGGTGTCACATTAACTGTACAACTGTTTCCTAAAAGATAGAGGTGTCACATTAACTGTACAGCTGTGAACTTAAAGAAAAGAGATGTCACATTAACTGTACAGCTGTGTACCTAAAAGATAGAGGTGTCACATTAACTGTACAATTGTGTACCTAAAAGATAGAGGTGTCACATTAACTACAACTGTGTACCTAAAAGAAAGAGGTGTCACATTAACTGTACAGCTGGTACCTAAAAGATAGAGATGTCAAATTAACTGTACAACTGTGTACCTAAAAGATAGAGATGTCACATTAACTGTACAACTGTGTACCTAAAATATAGAGATGTCACATTAACTGTACAGCTGGTACCTTAAAGAAAGAGATGTCACATTAACTGTACAGCTGTGTACCTAAAAGATAGAGATGTCACATTAACTGTACAGCTGTGTACCTAAGAAATAGAGGTGTCACATTAACTGTACAGCTGTGAACTTAAAGAAAAGAGGTGTCACATTAACTGTACAGCTGTGTACCTAAAAGATAGAGGTGTCACATTAACTACAACTGTGTACCTAAAAGAAAGAGATGCCACATTAACTGTACAGCTGGTACCTAAAAGATAGAGATGTCACATTAACTGTACAACTGTGTACCTAAAAGATAGAGGTGTCACATTCACTGTACAACTGTGTACCTAAAAGATAGAGGGGTCACATTAACTCTACAGCCGTGTACCTAAAAGCTAGAGATGTCACATTAACTGTACAGCTGTGTACCTAAAAGATAAAGGTGTCACATTAACGTTACATCTGTGTACCTAAAAGATAAAGGTGTCACATTAACTACAATTGTGTACCTAAAAGAAAGAGATGTCACATTAACTGTACAGCTGTTTCCTAAAAGATAGAGGGGTCACATTATCTGTACAGCTATGTACCTAAAAGATAAAGGTGTCACATTAACTGCTGTGTACCTAGAAGATAGAGATGTCACATTAACTGTACAGCTGTGAACATAAAGAAAGAGATGTCGCATCCACTGTACAGCTTAGTACCTAAAAGATAGAGATGTCACATTAACTGTACAACTGTGTACCTAAAAGATAGAGATGTCACATTAACTGTCCAGCTGTGTACCTAAAAGATAAAGGTGTCACATTAACTGTACAACTGTGTACCTAAAAGAAAGAGATGTCACATTAACTGTACATCTGTGTACCTAAAAGATAAAGGTGTCACATTAACTGTACATCTGTGTACCTAAAAGATAGAGATGTCACATTAACTGTACAGCTGTGTACCTAAAAGATAAAGGTGTCACATTTACTTTACAGCTGTGTACCTAAAAGATAAAGGTGTCACATTAACTTTACATCTGTGTACCTAAAAGATAAAGGTGTCACATTAACTTTACATCTGTGTACCTAAAAGATAAAGGTGTCACTTTAACTTTACATCTGTGTACCTAAAAGATAGAGGTGTCATATTAACTTTACATTTGTGTACCTAAAAGATAGAGGGGTCACATTAACTCTAAAGATGTGTACCTGAAAGATAAAGGTGTCCATTAACTGTACAACTGTGTACCTAAAAGATAGAGATGTCACATTAACTGTACAAAAGTGAACTTAAAGAAAGAGATGTCACATTAACTGTACAACTGTGAACTTAAAGGTAGAGATGTCACATTGAGGGGTCACATCAACTGTACAACTGTGTACCTAAAGACAGAGATGTCAGATCATCTGTGCAGCTGTGTGCCTAAAGATAAATGTGTCATATTATTACTCATCCAGGTTCATCAAGGGTGTACGGGGATTTACCCCGGGTTGTATTCCATACACCCTGAGGCCGAAGGCCGAAGAATGTACAAAATACAACCTGGGGTAAATCCCCGTACACCCTTGATTGGACCTGGATAACGAATTTATTTTCTATGTACCCAAATAAATTCTTTGTAAACAAGTCCAATCAACTGTGTTTCAAGCTATGGATAAGATTTACTACATCCTACAATGCATCATGATGTCATGTTAATTGCTTTTTATCATAGAGAAACTATGCATTGTGACGTCACGTTTTTAAACCCCTGGCTCAAGTTGGGTGTACAGAAATTTACACCCGATTTTGTAACCAATTAAAGCTCGTGTTACAAGCTACATAGGAAATAAAATAGTATATTTCCATTTAATATTCATAAACAATTGTATTGGAGCACGTTTCTTAAAAATCAGATTCCATTCTTCTTTGAATATTAATTTTTATAAAAACTATTTATTGTATGTTCTCCTGTTTAATAATGACAGCTGAACCAAAAATATTGATTTACCACTGTAAGATTATATAAGGAATATGTAGGTGACATTCAACATGAAACTATACATGTGAAGTTAATTGATAGGCTCCAGGAGCATTTTAAATGACAAAATATGCATATTTTAAAACATAATTATTTGGAAATAATGACTCACGAGGGTAGAAACCTCATCATAATGTCGCCGTCACCTGTGGCTGCAGCACCACCCATTCCGTTCTGAGCATAGGACCCCGCTCCTACTATTGGAGAATCTCCTACTCGTCTGTTAACAAAAAAGGTTGGATTTTCTTTAAAAATGAATCTTGTTACAAAGGCTAAAAAACATTCATACACACTGTAAAGTTTAAATTCTAACCATGATATTTAAAAAAAAAAAAAAACTATGTGTATAAAGCTGATGCTTCTAATTTACCCAGGAATTTTGTGGTTAAGACCATTGGTGGTGGTTCCAGAGACCACATGTCCATTTTTATCAACAGCTACCATTCCAATTGTGTCATGATTTAAATATCCAATTCCTTTGTCTTCTCTAGTCTCTTTTCTGTATATATTGGTATTTGGATGATAAGGGCCACAACTCCTCTTGGGATCTGGATTAACATTCTGCAAATAAAGAACAGACATGAATTTGACATTCTCTGTATTGTAATTAGTTTGCTAGGAGTATCCCACTGTCCTTTAAATATTTTTACAGATTTCCTTATTCAATTTTGCATATGGTATTTCTAGAAAGGAATGCTGTACAGTATAATATATATGTATGACTTACAACTCTGTAATTAGGCTGGCAGTTGTTTGTTTTCCACTGTTTGTACATGGTATCAGACTTGTTAGAACTAAGGTCACTTTCTGTGAAGCCCATTTCTACAGCAAATTTGGTAGCTGCACAAAAATACATGGCAATTTTTTTTTTTTTAGGAACAAAGACATTATAATTAAAGCAAATGTAGTGAAATACAAAGCAATTGATTTTAAAACAAGTTGATTAATACATGTTCAGAAACAATTCAAACAAATACATGCACATCTATGCCCCCCCCCCCCCCCCCTTCCCAAGCACTTTACTTGATCTTGCACAGTCTATAATTTTGGGATAATTTATAGAAAAGGACAACAAACATAAAAACAAAACTTTACCCAACTCCCCTGCTAGAAGAGTATGATCTGTTCTTTCCATCACCATGCGTGCTACACTAATGGCAGAACTGATATTCCTCAAACAGCCAACAGAGCCTACATCCATGCTTTCCCTGGAATTATTTTATCTCGATTCTACTACATCAGGAAAATTCAATATGACTTTTGCTTTACTTTTATTTAAAGAAACACATTTCATGAAAACTGCAACAAGATGGACTGTAAATGGCCCTTAATCCTATTCTAATGGTGTAAAATGGCAAAATTAATATTTAATTTCAAGAGAGGACAAATGACTTGGCATAAGGCATCAATAATGAAGTTCATCTTTGCTTTGTAAATACAATTGCATGAAGTTTCTCTTACATACTGGGGTTGGATGGGGTATAATGCATAAAAATAAACAGTAATACAAACATAAATTCTCTGTTTCTGCAAATTTCATAAATACATTCAAGGATATGTAAAATTAATGCTGTTCTCCATTACCCATCCATTATCATTGCATCTAGAGTGACCTCCCCTTCCTCATCTGGATCACTTCCTTCCCCTACTGATCCGTCACATCTCTGAACTTCACATTTAGAACAACCTCTCTCAACAGCATCTACAGCACTTCCTCCAGTTAGAAATACATTGTAACCTTGTAGAAGATCAACATTTCAAAAGTAATGTTTTAAAGATATTTTTAAAAGCAACTTTACAACAATATCTATAAATGGTTCTGTGTATTTATAGATTATATATGTTTATTCACCATTCGAGGGCCCTCAGGGGGCATGTACATTTAAAACAATAATATAGGTAATCATGATTATATCAAATAATGCATACATTAAATGAAATACTGTTGAATCATTAATTTTTTGTGATGGCCCAATTTTCATCGAATTTGTGGGTACATCTCATCCTCGAATTAACATCCTCAACCAATTAATAAACTATGGTTACAAAGTCGTATTAAATTTCTTTTTGTAGGTATAAGAGAATACATGAAATTACGTAACCACAAACCTGTGAAATTTAAGCAATTCACAGAAAATTGGCCCCCACAAATTTTTATGATTCTACAGTATTGCCCAGATCCTCACATTGCAACTATGACTAACAGAATTAAATTTCTACTATGATTCACTTGCAATTAGGAAAACCAAATTGCTGTCCACTTAAATGAACAGAGGCGTTAATAGGTAACTTTAGCATGTTTAGGGATGAGCAGCAGTTTAATCTTTGACGAATCTTTTATTCACCCAAACAAGTTTGTACTACTTGTTAAATTATATCTATTTTATTAGTGCTTGATAGATATTTGTTTATGAATTATGAGAATAACCAAATAATAAACCAACAGTGAAACTTATATAATTTCAATATTATCTTAAATATGTTAAAAAAGTAGAAAGAGAAAAATGATGAAGAAAGATCACAGAGTTTAAACATCCATGAATGATAACATTCCTAGAGGTGAGGTGCATATTATATAAGTTCAATGTCTATCAGGAAAAAAAAATTATGTGGAGAAATACGATTTAAAAGATAGAATAGGCAGTGCATTATGTATGTATATTATTCAATATTTTCTTATTAGTTTTGAAAACTCTAAAAAAAATAAATAATAATAAGTACTGGTAAAATTCGACAAGCACAATATTTCAATTCAATTCAGTTTGTTTATTTACCAATTAAGGGCCCTCATGGGGCAAAAAGAAAGTACATTGTAAACACCTGTATATTTTCTTATAAATGTAATACAATATACATACATACAAGAGAGAAAGAGTTGCATGATTGATAGGAACATGATGAATGTATGTACATCTGTATATTATTTACATTTACAAATGAATGCGAAAGATATTTTCTTTAGAGAAGTGGACAGGCTTTCGCCTACATCTGTGGATGTAGGAGAAAGCCTGTCCACTTCTCTAAAGAGGATATGCGAAAGAATGCCTGTTGAATTTTTCTTTTCTTTTTTTCAAAAGCATTACCCGTTTCTGTTGCATTTGTAAAAGGCCATGTGTTGACAACAATTGGCAATGTTGAAATTGCCTTGAAGCGGCAAAATATCGACAAAACGAAGTAGAACAGTAAACTTCTTATGGGCGCTGCCATTTTTAATCATGTGATTTGCATCGATCACATGAATGCGACAGACGAAAATATCTATTTCTGTAAAAACAGGAACTCTCGTTTATAAATTTCATCTGTCTTGTGGCTAGCATTTTCACTAGAATCTATTATGCTTTTTATAGTTCTTAAAATTTTAGACAAGTAGAGAAAAAATTATTAATTTATAATCATTTAAATTTGCTAACTATCTTATCCGTTTGACAATACGGATATAAACTATCCGTGAATGATTATTTGCCAAATCCACTCTTAGCCAGGCGGTGAATATAAACGACTACGAGAATGACAGCAGAAGTGCTAATGAAAAACATTTACACTTTTGCCAACATTTTAAGCCAGGCAGAAAGTGACATTGTTGCCAGATGGAACCCCACTTCTTTACAGAACGCTCTAAATTGGGCTGATTACTGTATTAAGGTAAAACTATCGGATGTAAACATATGGTTTTATCAAATTATCACTATCATTGATCAGCTGTTGATTGGTGAAGTAATAAGAAAAACAATCGGAATCGGTAATTTCCCTGAAAGACCTTGCTGCAGCCAGCCCTTTAAAAATTGAATGAAGTTTTTAAGGGTCCCATTACTATGAAAACTTAGATTCATTAAAAAGATCTCACAAGTCAAGGGTCCCGAGTCCATTCATGGTAATGGGACCCTTAAAAACTTCATTCAATTTTTAAACTATCGGATGTAAACATATGGTTTTATCAAATTATCACTATCATTGATCAGCTGTTGATTGGTGAAGTAATAAGAAAAACAATCGGAATCGGTAATTTCCCTGAAAGACCTTGCTGCAGCCAGCCCTTTAAAAATTGAATGAAGTTTTTAAGGGTCCCATTACCATGAATGGACTCGGGACCCTTGACTTGTGAGATCTTTTTAATGAATCTAAGTTTTCATAGTGAAATATGTAATAAAAGTATATATAAAAAATATCTTTGTCTGCATTATTCCTGACTAAATAAATGAGGCGAATCCTGATTTTAAGAAGTGACTCTGTGTTAATTTTACTTCACAGGTGTATAATCAGGTAGCAGATAAACCATACAGGTGTCAAATAGAGAAACAAATGGCTGCAATGACACTTCACCTACACCCACCTTCCTGCTTACAGCTCTGTGTAGAAGACCTAGGAAAGGCCAGGCTAATAATGGAAAAGGTACTAGATGTCAAAATTTACATTAACTGTAAATGTACTCTTTGCCACGGGGTCATAATTTCATGGAATAAAAATTTCTATTTATTATATTATGTCAATATTTTGAGTAAAAGTCACCAAGTGCAGGTCTGCTCCAACTCAATGTTTTGATATAATGTGAAGAGTGATAATATCAATGAAATATGTGAATATTAATTGTTATGGAGCAGATTTGTGCTCTATAAATTATATGGAAAAGTTGAAAAAAAAATTAGCTTTAAAATTGAATAATTTTTGTCCTTAGATAATGCTACATGTAGAATGGCAAATTTTCATTAAAAAAAAAAAAATTTTCTAGGGATGGGTTGGAGTATTGCCTTCAGACCCATTCCAACCCCAAGATTGATCCCCCCCCCCATCTAGATTGATGTGACATTTTTTGAGCCATAGGAAAGCTTTTATTACAAACACTTATTTGTCAGAGAGGGAGAGGTGGGGAGGGAGGGGGAGATAAATGTTGATTAGGTGAGCACTGTAGCCCAAAGGCCTTTGTGCTATTTAATAGGGAGAGTTAATTGGTATTCAAAGTCATTTGATATAAATTTTTCTCACTCATGAATGCATTTGCTGGTTTTGTAGACATTGTTGCAAAATACACATCTACCAGAGAAATTATTTACCATGATCCTCAAACAACAGGAAAAGTCAAATGCAGATAACTTGACACAAGATGGATGTGAGAAAGCAGCCAGGGAAGTGAATAATGTGACTAAGCTATTGCAGGCCTTACAGACAAATGAAGAATCATTAGGACAAATAAAGCTAACATCTGAAGCTACAGCCCTCCTCTCTACACTAATGGGTCTTACAGAATGTTCATCTAAACCTCAAAGGTAAAACAAGCATTTCATAAAAATGTGAAGTTTGTGTAGTCAAAAATATTTTAGATATTTATATTAAGAATTCAAACTAGTGCTCATGTCTGTACATGTGTACTTATTTTAGTAAAAAAAACTTGTTTTATTTTTACAGATTTGAAACTTATGTATGTAATTTGCTGACAAGAATAGCAAAAAAAGCAGGCAAATTTGTAAGTCATTCAGAAAGATAAATATTACCAAGAATTTTTTTTTATTTTAATACTGGGAAAAGAAGTTTTCATTCTTTTAGATCTGATATAAATTTAAACATATTAAATCCCAGAAAGAGATAAGTTTTCTTTGTTTCATGGCCCAACATGATTATTTGGTAAACACCATTATATCTGAGTCAAATCTATGTATTTTTCAAAATTCCTTTATAACACATGTATAAAAAGCTCAGATATGTACATGACATTTTTTTTTGTGGGAGGGGTAGCATACTGTGCAGATTAGAATTATTTGAATTCTACCAGTATTATACCACAGGTACTTGTGGACAGGACCCTTCCCCCCCCCCCCCCCCCCCCCCCCCATTTCAACCCAGAGGTTTGTTGGACATTTTTTTCACAAATTATATTTATTACACTTCTTCATCATCATGTTTACCATAGGAAAAAATCGTGAAAATCCCAAAATAATAATTCCATACAAAAATGGGGGGGGGGGGGGGGTTCCTGTCCACAAGTACCTGTGTATTATACAAATGAAGATGCCCCTAACACTAATGGGATTGACTGTTGTAGGATGTAATTCTGAAGATGTTAACTGTATCACCATGTGACACTACATACACAGATAGTCAGCTTCATTATCTTCACAGTATCATCATCAGATGGCTCTCAGTCCCAAGTAATGAGTAAGTACTTTATTATCATACACATGTATTTAATTTGTGTTGGCCTTCCTATATGTCACTGGGTGGTTGTCAGCATTCCAGTTGTCACCAAAATTATCAAGAGAGAAAATACTAACACATCAAGTTCATTTTCCCGAACACAGTAAATGAGCAATATAAAAAGGGTTGTCAGACCATGTAAAATTGCCACTGTACTTGTACATTTTTGTTTGTAAGTAAATTTACACTATCCCTTTATGATTCAAGTTTGTTCAAATCATGACCTAGAGTCTTGGGTGGAACTTACTCATATTAATATGCAAGCTTTCCTATGATATTTAGGTTGAAGTCTGTTCAAATCTTGCAACTTGGTACTTGCATATGCCACTGTAGTCAGGGGATTTTGTTGTTTCAAAATTCACAATTCAAGAAACCCTTTACCTGTTCTGAACCAAAAAAAAAGCAATAGTCATGTTTCAATTTTCCCTCAGGGTTTCCTTACTTGTATTCATTTGTCAGAGAGAGAGAGAGAAAGAGGAAGCTCTATGACTCTCATAAGCACTATGCCCTTCCATTTCACATTCTAGTTCACAATATCATCACATATTTTTGTGGGGTGCACGTGGGTGCATGGTTGGAGGAAAAAAATATGGGTTTATGGGGATTTGTTCTTACTGATAAAGAATTTTTGAGTAGTTATATATAGAAATTTTACATCTTGTGGTGGACATGAATTCATGGGTCTCTTCATATCTTGAAAACAATGTAAATTAAACCCCCATGAAAATTAGTAATTCCACAGTAAGCTGTTGAAGACTTCAATTTTCTATCATGATCTTTTAATTCTAACGGAAGTAATATACAATGTATTTGAATTATTCTATTTAAAGCACATTCCTGGATTCTTGTAAAGAAGTCATCCAAGAGGCATGCAAATTTCACACAGACTTCTGCCATACCTATTTAAAACACATTTTACAATGGGCAAAAAACATGGAACCAAGTTATGATGAGGGAGATTCAAATCCTTATTCATGGAGGTAAAGATGTGCTTTTCATGTAATACCTGGTAATCATTTTAGTTTGAAACTTGATATTGGAAAAAGTAAATTGAATAGAATTCCCAATCATATTTTATATGCATATGTGATTTATTTTATATAAAAGTGTTAACTGTGTGTATCATTTGATTACACAGTAAAACTCAATTATAGTGAAATCCTGGGGACCTGCAAATTTACTTTGCTATATTCATAGTTTGTTATTATACAGTTAAAGTATATCATTGAGGGAGTCGGCAAGATTCCAGTTCCCCAAGAGCAAGTCTATTTCCTGAGGTGCTTGCGCCGAGGGAAATAGGCTTGCTCGAGGGGAACTGAAATCTTGCTGACTCCCTCAATGATATACTTTAACTGTTTCATCATACCGATACAAACAAGAAATTTGGAAAAAGTTAAAATCAATACAGTAACTGTAACAATGTTTGATTTTAATTCAAGTATCCAACTTTGTAACAGGGATACCCGGTAAATAAAAAATCATTACAACACAACAGAATTTATAACCGTCATTAAAACATTAAAGAAATTCCATTTTATCATTTAATAATTAAGTTCATTGTCTTAACTACTTTGTAAAATTGAAGGTAACATTACAGTTAGCCGAGTTTACAAAGTTATGTGATCTGTCTAGCTCTCAGTGCACATCAGTTTACCATGTTGACATTTCCCGTATAAATTAGGCCCTGCCTCCTTATATGATGCATTAACATAGCTGCGTTATGAATATTTATTTGGAACTCATTGGAACTTTTCATATGATTAAAAGAAATTGCTTAGTGTTCCAAATATGAGTGTATCAGTTCATCAGACTGTCACACCTTTTTGCAGGGAATCAGTCCTTTTACGGTGATTTTCTGGGAATCGGCAAAATATATTGATTTACTCATATATAGTGAAAAATCAGTAGAGGTATAATAAATCCTTATAATGAATACCTTAAAGTATATATAGAGATTTCTCAGTATATATTTTTTCTTTCGAGTATTACTACCAAATGTTTTAATGGAAGTATTAAATACAAAAGTTATGTTGGTGTTCAAAAGTTTTTGAGTGAATTAAATTTCAAATAAAAATAATTACAAAAATAATGTCAGTTCAATAATTTACTAATTGAGATCTTTAAAAATTCTTTATAAAAAATGTAAATATCACTATTTTTAATGTCTAGGAGATACAAAATCAGTTACTTTATCCTTAAGCTTAATTCACTATACCCGAGTTTGTTATATCTGTAAAATTTTACAAGGAATTGCTAAGAATTTGCCAGGGATTCTAAAAAACTTCACTTTATCTGTAAATTTGCTATATCCGTGTTTCTACTAAACAAGTTTTACTGTACCCAGTAATTGATAAATGATCGTAGTGGCAAAGGCCTATGTATTTGTGCATAATGAAAGAGCTTTAATAACAAATAAAAATTACATTGTGTTTTCCTTATATTTGTAGATTCAGAAGCATTGATCCCCAAAGGAGAGGTGGTGACAGGGGTAGAACATTGGAAAGTCTTTGTGAACACATAATTAACTTGATAAATGTTAACAAACAGTGTCAGATACTGGTGAAGGAGACACTTCAGACTCAAAAAGAATCCTCACATTTCAATGTGTATAGGGACATAGTTAAGAAAATAGGTCACACTGCTGAATAATGAATTTGAGATTTAATATAATTAAAATTTTATATGACTAATGTTTCTAATAAATTAAGTATTTAGAACAGAGAAGTAGATTTGATTTTGTTACTCTCACCTTCAGGGGAAGTTAATTTTTTTCCTTGAGTATGCCTTGGAAAGAAAATGAAGCACAAAAGGAAATTCCATCTGTATTTATTATAGCAGGTTACAGATTTAGCACCTTACCCATTGTCTGCAATGTGCTAATTCAAGTTCTTGTCTAAAAATAAATTGGTTCAGAAGTGGTGAATGTGCACGCAATATCATACAATTTATGATGGCACAACCTTGTCCATTATATTCAGATGTGTTAAATTCTGAATATTCTAAAATAGCTTCAGATGCTAGTGTGCATTTGTTTTCATACTTTTTGTTAATTGACTAAGGTGTGAATTAAATAACATGTATATGCACTGATTTATAAGTTATGTAAAGCATTTATATTAATTTGAAAATGAATTGACTTGTTAATGTTGGCTGATGCACCCAATGAGTGAGGCCACAAAAAGTTTAATATGATACTGAATTGGATAATATTTTAGGAAAAGTACAGCTACTATTAGTTGTGTGCATGAATATGTCTAGATTGAATGACTCTCAGGACTAGGATGGACCACAACTAGGATTAAAGTCAGGCCCATAGCAATGGTTTCAAAAGTGGGGGTGGGGGGGGGGCAACTTCCAAAAAAAAAAAATAATAAAAAGTAATTTACTGTCCAAATCCTGCAATTTGCCAGTGCTCGACCTTAAAACATCAAAAGGGGGGGGGGGGCAGTTTGCATCTAAATGAAAATTTACTATAGCAAAATACTATACTCAGATAAAAGTGCCCCCCCCCCCCCCAATGCGTTCTACGGACCTGAAAGTTTCACAATGGAGTACTTATATAGAAAAAATACATAAAAAAGGAATTTAGTGTAGAAGCAGAATCTTAATTAGTCAGATCAATAGTAAAGCATCTCTATATAATGTAGGTATGAATGTCAAATCGTCCCTGATTCAAGGACTGGATTACAACGGAGTTCTTATGTATTGAAAAAAAAAATCTTTAAAAATCATATTTTCAATTGAAAAGTTGAGTCCATGGGGGAGATAATATATTAACATGATAAGGGACTAATTTTTAAGTCTATCATTTTTCTTTTAGTATTGATTTAATTTACGTGTGTTTGAAAAATTACGGTTCTCATTGCTAGGATAGGCCATAACTGGGGTTAAAGTTTACACACTGAAATATATATATATATATATATATATATATATATATATATATATATATATATATATATATATATATATATATATATATATATATATATATATATATATATATATATATATATATAGAAAAAAAAGATTAAAGGAGAGTTTTGTAAGTGTTGAACTCTTAGCTTTACTTTTTTTTATTAGATGGAACATACTGAATGCAGAAACAACATGTAAACTCAACACTGTGATTGGAAAATCATTAATAGTTTTCGGATTCTAATTTGCTACATTTGCCAGTTACTCTATTGGGTGAGAATTGCCATATTATAACCTTGGCACCAAATGTTGTCAAATGCGATAAATGCATATCTGCATCTATGGCCAGGTCTTCTGACGAGAGTAATATTGTACAGTGCTAGTTTCATGGACTTTGGGTAACAATTTAAAAGCAATACAGGACAAATTGTAATGGACAATGTCTGTTTTCAATTCGAAAGTGATTTGTTCCCTTTGTCAACGATACAAGAAAGTTTGATTTTATAACATGAACAATATCATTTGTTCTTGTCTTCGGGTCGATGTAAGCAACAGAAATTTTAATTTTCACTTCACCAGAAGAATCGTCTCATACAAGGAGACTGTGTAGGCTGTGAACCTTGTATAATTGATGATTTGCCTTGCTTCCTTCGTTTTCAGGAATGCTGTTAAGCCTAAGAAAGGGAGAACTTCGTGGGTTGATTTACCATATATTCACAGTCGCTCTGCTTATTTTAATTGTTCTAATTTTTAGTGAAGCAGCAGGTGCTTTTAGAGACAACAATTCTATTACTGACGATCCCTTCGCCAAATACGGGAAATGGGTGACAATCATCTTGTATTTTATTCGACATTTGACTTTTTTAAGTCTGCCACTATCAGTGTTTAATTTTCTTGGATTTGTTTTGTACAGTATGTACCCGAGGCCACCAGATATGACGGGAACACTTCTACATGGCCCTTTGGTCTGCTTCAGGGTTGTCACTAAAGGAACCTGTCCAACATTGGTAAAGAATAATGTGGAGAGAAACATAAACACATGCAGTGGTCTCGGCTTGAGTAACTTCATTTTTGAAGTCGTGACAGATAAAGCCATTAATATTCCAAAGAATCTCTTTGTCAGAGAAATTGTTGTTCCTTTCAATTATCGAACATCCAAAAGGACCCTTTACAAAGCGCGAGCTCTTCAGTATTGCTTGGAGGATTGTATAAATATGCTGAAAGACGAGGATTGGATCGTCCACCTTGACGAAGAGACTGTTCTGACCAGGGCGTCAGTGACCGGAATTCTTAATTTTATTACAAAAGGAACAGCAAGTTTTGGGCAGGGCATCATATCGTATGCTAACGAGGAAATATTTTTTTGGATCACTACCATCTTCGATCTTGCCAGAGTTGGTACGGACTACGGTATTTTGCGATTTTGTCTGAAATTCTTCAAGAAACCAGTCTTCAGCTGGAAAGGGAGCTACGTTGTTTCCAATGTTGGAGCAGAGAGAAAGGTTTCTTACGATTTTGGAATAGAGGGAAGTATTGCGGAAGATTGTTTCTTTGGACTGACAGCTTGGAAACTGGGCTATTCGTTTGACTTCATCGAAGGTGAAATGTGGGAGAAAAGTCCCTTTTCTCTGACAGATTACATAAAGCAAAGAAAACGGTGGATACAAGGCATAACAATGACTTTTATAAGTAAGAATATCCCGTTCAAACAGAAGTGTGGAATACTCTTTATAATACTCGGATGGATAACGATGCCTTTGACTGTCCCAAATACCGTGCTGGTGCCACTGTATCCCCTCCCAATGCCACGAGTGTTTAGTTTTCTGTTTGGGTTCATGGGAGGAGTGATGATGTTTCTGTTTATTATTGGTGCCCTGAAATCATTCAACTATCAGAGAATTGGTCTTATAAAGTTCGTGGTTGTATGCCTCTCTCCTGTTCTTCTCCTGCCATTCTTTGTACTAACGGAAACGTGTGCAGTTGTTTATGCATTTCTTACATTTAGAACAATTGAATTCCAAACTGTGAAGAAAGAAGACAGAATTATCGATGTAGATGGGAGGTCAGCCAAAAGAAACTATGCATTTGATGCTTAAATATCATGCGAACATTATTATTCTGAAAGAAAACTTTAAGGTGTTACAACATGCAATGCACAAGTGATTATAAAAAGAAAAAAGCAATAGAAAGAAAGAATAGTTCTCGCCTTTCTACAATCCCCCATCCCCCTCCCCCAACACGCACACAAATAATAGTTTTGAAATGATTGAACCTGACAAATGATTGTAGCTCAACAGATGCTATGACATCGACCAATGAATGAAAAAAAAATGAAGATAATAAACAGAGATCGATCTCAAAAAAAATATATAAACAATATAATTCTGTGAATAGGGCATAAAACACGGACCTCTAGAAATTCCAGAGGTGAGATCAGGTGCTTAGGAGGAGAAAGCATCCCTTGTTGACCGGTCAAACCCGGTGTGAGCCTTATGTGTTGATCAGGTAGACGGAACATTCCGTAGCTGAATTCAGTATAAAAACAAAGGCCTAACAATTGGTTTGAAACAAGTCAGCCAAAATACGACCCAACGATATGCTATATTTGCTAACAAGGTTATTAAAACGACCATAGAATTTACGAAATGCCGACTTTAAAAGAGGTTTTTGAATCCCTGTAAGATCAATTTATCTTGAATCCCTGTAAGATCAATTTATCTATCAATTGCCTGCCTCGGTTTAAAAAATGATCGTACTCGGAGCATGCTCTTGGGTATCATGTAAATAGCATCTTATGCAGGTGTTTGCGGGATATTACTACATAAATAAGGAAAGTGGACGATGGAAAAGTTGAAGTCATCTCGTTTGTCATACAATTTAGTCGTTAGTTGGCCCTTTTCATCTATAGTCCGTAAAACTTCCAAATATGAAACAAATGTGGCAGACTCTGTGGTGTCTTTTATTTCAAGTTCACTGGGATATATGTAATTGACATGAATGGAAGTAATTATTGATAATACATATCGCCGATTTATATTAATGTCGAGTTGAAGGCCACAGCAAGTGTTTTATTCTTCTCATGTAAAAGTTTTTGAATAAATTCTGCTTCATGGGAATATAAAAACAGGTCAGCTAATAATAGAGCACATTTAGTGCCATCAAAGTTCCAACATTTTGTTGGAAAAACCTGGTCTCCGAAGACGAGATAAATGTTGTCAATGAGGAACTCCAGCATCTTCAACTTCAGAGTACTTGTGAGTAGAATCAGAGTGATTTTTAATAGAGTAATTTTGTTGATGACCAATCACAAGATAGGAAATTTTCCGACTTATATTTTTATTGAAGAAGCGGTTTTTAATATTTCATCATATAAGGGAACGGTTAATATTCAAATATCATTAATGTGTAATTTGAGTTTATACATGTTTGAATTAAGATTGTATGACAAAATTTTGGTTTAAAAATGTATTTCACAAATCACTACTAGAGTAGACGAAAATGCCTATCTAATGCGCTATGGCTCTTTTTTCAAAAGTCAGTAACATCAAAATGTAAGACTTTTCTACACTTTATACAACCATTCTTCACGATAAATTAAAAACTAGGCTTTTCTCTGTATATGCATGCTTATCTCAACTAGTTAATGCACATAAATTCTGGAATAGTACATTTAGAAGAGTTCGAAACTGTGAAGAAAGAAAACAGATTGATCGATTGCTTGCAGATTAGTCAAAAGAATGTTTTTGATGCTTAAATCTCATGCTAACATTATTACAACTCTGCAAAGAGATATGATATAAAATTTGAAGATATCGAACAGCAATCATGCTCAAAAATCTACTGAAACAATACTAACTGTGAGCAGAGCAAACACGGACCTCTAAAAACAGAGGTGGACTCAGGTGCCCTGGAGGGGTAAGTATCCTCTGTCGACCGGTCACACCCGCCTTATTCTCTTTGTCATGATCGGGTAAACGGAGAAATTCGTAGTAAATTCAGTAGGAAAATAATGGCCTTTTAGACATCTGCAGATGATAATGGTATATTCTACATAAATAAGGTAAGTTGACGTCAGAAAAGTTAAAGTCATCACGTTTATCATTGTTATTAGTTTGCCATCACTGTCTTTCTCTAGTAAATTATCCAGATATAACGCAGTTGTGTCAGAGGTTGTGGTGTCTTTTATTTCAAGTCTAAGGAGACATGTGTATATCGAATCAACATATGAATTAAAATAAGTATTCTTAATTGATATTTAGCGCCATTGATATATCTAAATGTCGAACTGAAGATCACAGCAAGAAACTTCTTTTCATATAGACGTTTTGGAATAAGAATAAAACAGGAGCCCGTTTTACAAAAGAACTAATGTCTTAAGACTAAGATCAAAAAACGTTATTTGATAATAAAAATCTTGCAAAATCAATGATTCTGTTAAAATTTTCCGGCATAAAAATATCTATCTAAATTAATTTTAAAAAAGATTTAATCCATTTTCGAATCAATGTAAAAAAGAGAGTTATTATCAAAATAACATTTTGGATTCAGTCGTAAGTTCTTTTGTAAAACGGGCCCCTGATCTGTAGCATTTTTAAAGTAATATCTTAACTAAAATTAAATTAAAGCCAGCAAGAAAGACGTTTTTGTATTTTTTCCTGAAAAAAAAAACTTCTTTAGAGCAAGAGCGATGTTTCCTGTCAAAGATAAGTGCAAAGGATGACTGCACTTAAGGACATGCGAAATGTGCGACAAAATAAACTTTCAAAACAAGCATTTTTCTTTTCATTGCAAGAATGGTCAACACCCAATCTACAACTTCATGTAATTATGTTTAATAAAAGTGTGTATTTACGAAGTTCGAATCTGTTTTCAAAGGCAGGGGTCATAACAATTTCTTGAATCTCCGTTCGATAATGAGGACGACCACTTTTTTACTGACTTTATACATAGTCAGTGCATGTTTGTCTATTGTTCTACGTTTAACAGTAGTTGTATATTTGCATAAATAATAATGTGTCAAAAGGAGATTAATAGACAAACATGCGCTCATAGTTAAAAAGAGAAAAAACTGCTTCTTCTCACATTCGCTCTCTGTGTTGTAACCAAGGATTGTGACATGTTGAATATTATAATTCACCACGTGATTTCTTACCTCAGGAAACTTTGTGAATACTAAATTCCGTCACGTGACTTGTAAGGTAGCATGTTTTGTGCTAACTAGGACAATGTGTTCGAACACGTTAAGGACATACGCAACGTAGATTGAACTTTATTGTCCTTTCCCCTGGAGTTGAAGAGTTCCAATACTTAAAAGAACTGTGTGTTACATTTTAATGTCTATATATGCTATTGCACACTTCTTCTAAAACAACTTTGGATAAACAAAATATCTAGAAAATATGTCTAATAATTTTTGTATATTTTTCTTTGAATTATACAAGAATTTTCATCAATTGATATCTTTTCAAAACCCCTGGTAATGCATGCTGATTTTTTGTCTACAAACATCTGATGGTACTATAATCTTAAATTAAGAATATCTCGAAAAATTATCAGTAGGTAAGGTACGTTGCGTATGTCCTTAAGTCATCTGGCATGGATATAAAATCTGCTTTAATTACATTGACGTGCTCATATTGTTAATTTCGTTTTGAAACCTTTGTCAGAAGTGTATTTGTGCCATACAGAATGCAGAGGGAGATTGGAAAGATTGATCACGTTCTTTTTTTCCAAACATGTCATTGTTATTTATCAAGTCTAATTTTAGAGCCATTCTTACAATGTTAGCTCCACCTCTCATGCATATCTAATGTTCAGTCAAGGGCAGGTAAGTGTAAATTCACTATATTTGGAAAGCAGTAAGGCGAAAAAACATTGAATCATTTTATTGTATCACAGTCTAAAATCATTTTAAGATTTAAATTTGGTTTCAAATTGAAAGGATTCTTTCATAAACATACAAATGTGAAATAAGGTTTAGATATAAAAGCAACAGAAGCAACCGAAAAAGACCCAAAAACAGGCGTTAAGTGCAGTTATCCTTTATTTACTTTAATTATTGCAGCCCGGACGACCGCGCTGCTCTATACATATAAGTTTAAGTGTTGGTATATGGGGATTGAGGTGGGAGAAGTTATTCAGTATTAAAGGTTTTCTAAACATAAAAAAGATTGTTAATCAGAATGTTCTTTCCCTTTATAAATTACGAGATACAAAATATATTTACTTCCATAAAGTGAATCTGTAAAAATATATATGTTTTTCATATTTAATATATAAAGTTGCTTATCATTTACTATCGAAAAAACGACAGGTCCCTTTTTTTAGAACATCGAATTTTACTTATCGCATAAAAACGTAAAAACGTACTTTACACAGTTCGTGTTTTATAATCTTAAAGTGAAAGACATTTTTGAAAATAGGTGATGCATGTGTCTGGTTTCAAATTATATTTTATGTAACCAACATTTACTTGAGGAATTGATAAAGTTTAAAAGGGTATCGTTTTTGTTCGATTTTCATCCGACTATAAGTTTTCAAAATATTCTCTACTATCGTCTCCATCATTTACTAGACGCATGCCTTTTTCACACATATCGAAGGGTTTGATGATCAAGACTCATTTCCATTGTTTACTTTATTTATTTCCCGGGCGACAATTGATGGTTACATCAATGTTTTCTTGTTTTATGATATTTCATAGATCTAAAGCTATCACTCTGTTCTACTGAATGCAGTTTCATGTCAATGCTTCAAGTTTGTTACAATTTTAAAATAAATAGGGTACTCAAAATACAATGATTATGAAACACATCAGAAAGATATTTTCAAAACGTTATCCATATGTCATCTCTGATCACTATGAAATAAGAAAACTTTATACGTGTACTAGTTTTGGTATAATCATCAACTACAAGTTCAAGTTCAAGAACTTGGCGTTTCCGTCATGTGACTTTGTTTTTACTTCTGAGAATTCTGGGGAAGAAAACAATCGATCTTAGAGGCCATGGGCTGGATAGAGAGCTGTCGGTGCAGATGAAGAAAGGCTAAACATCATGAACCTGATCATGTTCGTTGTAAGGTAAGAATATTTGCTGGTACATATTGATATTCTAGTTTTTGAAACGAGTTTCTCTGATTAAAGCTATTTACGTACCTATACTTTATTTTTTCATTATCTGTAAATGAATACCATGAGGAATGTTAGTATTGTTTTTAGGGTTAGTAAAATTAGACGACTACTTTTTTTTCTCTCGATCTTAGTTTTGGGGTTTTAAATTCAAAGTGCATTATTTAACAAAAAAATTTCTCAGTACAGCAGAACATTCTCAGCATAATTTGGTATCATTGGCATGTTAGAAATGTTTTAAAATTTTGATAACTCCATGTTTTATTTAAAAGTGCAATGACTGATTAACTCAAAATATCGAATTTATTAATAATTATTTAAGTGAAAAAGTTGACAACGCACCAAGGCCTGTTTTAAAGAGGGGCTTCGTCTTGCATCATGCATCGTCTTGCATCAGGACGATTTCTTTGCTTTTACTCTGTCTTTTTTGTAAAAGTCCTTTTCGATATTTCAATGGCCGTAAATGCCGAGTATAGGACAAAATTTGCAGCTCTCCACCGGCAATGATGGCGTCTCAATATGAGTGAAAAATTCTCGGGAGGGACGTTAAACAACATACGATCAATCAATCAATACGCAAGTGACATCCTCACAAAGTCATGAAGCCTACTAGAAAAGTATTAGAAACCGTGATTATGGAAAGTTGATATTTCAATTGTTCCATTGCATCAATATCAAATAATTAGGACAGTAATTTAATTGGCTTATTTTTCGTCATTTGCAGTAAAGGACTTCGCTGTTGGAGCTATATGGTTCCACTGTACAGGTGTATCTTCTTTGTGTCGATACTTAATACTTGTTACTTATATGTATCAATGTGGTTTTTCAGGTTTCAGTTTGTGGTGTGACAAGCATTTTTATCCTGCTAAAGTTATATTAACTTAAGTCAGTTCTATAGAAGAATATTTCTCTTCTTATTTAAAGCAATATGAGCTGCAACTTTGATGTCAGATATTTTTGTTGCAAAATTGTAATTAAATATTTCAATGACAGAAAAAAGAACTTCTGTTGTTCATATTTGCGATGGAAGAACTATTTATAAGCTTTGATTGAAGCAAAATTACATTACTGTCATCCTGTACAATATTGATTTCTTATATAATACTATATATTTGATTGTACAGAATCCTTTATTCTGAAGCAATTTGATACTTTATTTCTGTCTAATTGATTAAAAAGGTTTAAATTATATACAAATTTATCATAATAACACATTTTAACAGCAAAATAAAATTCTCAAAAAATGCAGCTCATATTGCTTTAAAAGTAATGTTCCTATTCTTTTTTGGCCATTCATTCGTATGAAAGGATGTTGATGGAATAATGCTTAATACGAGAATGTTTGATAAGTTTTGTCAAGGTTTCCTTGGAGTGTAGACAAGCACAGCAGTTCCTTTCCAGAGAGCTCCCAGAGAGGTGCCGAGATACGTTACATCACATTAAACACGTCAGTGCCGCCAATATTACGTCAACACTTGATATTGTTTTAAATCCGAGGAAATACGACAGACGACTAAGACCAGGATTTAAAGGTAAACCATTAAGTCGGATGATTCACTAGTGATTGATTTACAACGATATATATATATATATATATATATATATATATATATATATATATATATATATATATATATATATATATATATATATATATATATAACATCGAACACTTTAAAAAATGATTATAATTTTTTGTTTAATTCCAGAGGAACCAGTGGTCATTTATACAGACATACTTCTGAGATCGATGGGACCAATCTCCGAGAAAGACATGGTCTGACTTTAAATTTTCTTTAATATCTACTAGTTTAGGATAAGATTAACATGTCTAAAAATTAAGATCTTTTTATACATTTTCCCTCTGAAATGAATTTTTTAGCTTTTATTAGCAGTATTTAGTTATTTTTATCATATATCATTGAATATTATCATGAGATAATTATGTTGCTAAATTATAAAGAATTTAAAAAAAAAACCACTTGAGTTATCGGTTGAGTTTTTTAAAAAATCTCAATAGTGTTTTTGTGAACTAAACGCGAAATGAGGCTAAGTGAGATCAAGGGTTGAAAGTTTTGCTAAAATTTCAGGGAAATGAAAAAAAAGGCGAAGATAACGAACAGTGATCGATCTCAAAAAACCTACAAACAATACTTATCTGTGAACAGGGCATAAATATGGACCCCTGGAAATTCCAGAAATGGGATCAGGCGCTTAGGAGGAGAAAGCATCCCCTGTTAACCGGACACATCCACCTTGTGCCCTATGGATTGATCAGATAGACGGAATATTCCGTAGTCAAATTAAATATAAAAGCAAAGGCCTAACAATTGGCATGAAATATGTCAAAGTACGACTCAATGATTGTTTTTGCTAAACGTCATAATAACGACCATAGAATTTACAAAATGAAAATATAATACTAATATAATATCTTAGTGAGAAGACACCATCCATATAGACCTTTTGATTTGTTACAATCTAAGTTAAAGTTAATTTTTGTTATAGACATGTCTAGTCTTGAGTATAGAATATTTAATGTAGCTTCCCGTAACATTATACTTATACATGTACTTAAACTTTATCAGTAATTGTTCTTCATTCGGTTCTTCGTTTTTATTTCCTCTAAGATTGAAACAACTTTAAAGCTTAATCATAAATGCATGCTTTGGTAATTCTTGTTCAAGTCCCGAGTGAAATGCACGGGCATACAAAGTAATAACCATACTAGTTTTCCCCTGCGTTTCTCGGCTCTATTTCATTACAAATTCCTATTACCAAAAGAAACACCATCATTCATTTTGATTAAACCGAATTTGTTCATCTGTAAAAAGTTCATTACTAACTTAATGCTTCAGAGTGACCACTGCATGATACAATGTCCCGTGGACGTTTTTTATTATCTGTTGGACCCCTTCACCACTTACTGCCGAGTGCAAAATGGGATTTAGACAACACTCTTTTATTGGGTTTTTTCTTCATTTATATTCCTCACCAACACGTCCTAATACTTATTATTAAAAAATCCTTCCGCTTGACGAATGAAGGACCAATTCTCTATATAAATAGGGAAATGAACCTTCGAATAAATTAATCCATCAGTCTGTCGTTATTATTTTAGGATCTATTTTGCTAATAAAATAGAGAAGAGGAAGTAAGTTAATGAATTCATCAGATATTTATAGCATGATATCATCAATAAAGCTCTTGCTTTCATACGGTAAACACAAAGACACACAGATATATAGGCCAGGATTATTTATGTCAACTAACGAAAATTATCATCAATTTATACAAGATTAAGCATTTTCATTAATATTTCAATCCCCTGTTCGAGTATTTTCAGAAAATAGATATATTTTTTTGGAGCAGGTATATTCCATCGAGATATATTTTCGACAGAGATGGATGGATGCAAGACTGGCCACAAATATGTCTATTGAGAACATCTCTCTCAACATCAAAGTGCTGGATAAACTCTGGCATCCCGACACAGTCTTCTACAATGGTAGACAGTCTTATCTCCATTTTGTCCCAACTCCAAACCGATTTATACGAATAAGTCCTAATGGTTCCATGTATTTATCACAAAGGTAATGACTTTTTTTGAATACTGAAATTAATTGACTTATCATTATTAAATTTCAGTCAAGGGTATTTTTTTCCTCTGTCTCTAAATAGAATATATACATATAAATTTTATGTATCTTTTTCACAGATTGACTGTTAGAGCAGTTTGTCAAATGGAGCTTCAGAATTACCCTCTAGACTCCCAGATCTGTGACCTCAAGATAGGCAGCTGTAGGTTGTTTCCACGAGACATCTTTTTGGCGACACTAAAAAATAATTTTAATTGATTTTTTCATACATGTATAACAGTTTTGTTAACTTTTACAGTCGCCTACACAACCGAAGAGGTCGTGTATGTTTGGCGTTACGGTCCATTGAACTCTGTTCAGCTGTCTAATGACATGGCCATGTCCCAGTTTGATCTCATTAATTACTCTGCCACTTACTCTAACGTTTCCAGAAAAGGAGGTATTAACACAAATACTGCGCTGTTTCCATGAAATTTTTTCCATACCTTTTTCTTGTTTATTAAGCAGGGATATTTTTTTCTTTAAGAAAATTTGTTGATTTAATTAATGTTAACATACGAGGGTTGATCAAAAATTATGTCGCTTCTGCTTTAAAACCTTTAATAATAAGAAGTCATTAAGAAAATGTGTTTTTTTTAATTAAAATTATTTTTGAACAATTTACGCCGTTGTGAGTAGATCGTAAGTATCGATTCAAGAGTGGTATTTGACTGATCGTCCACTCGCTTTCTTCTTCCATTCAACATTCCTTGAAATGTTGAAGAGGTTGATATCTGATTTTAAGAATGCCAGCACCTGACTTTACTACAAACAAGGGATAGCAAAATGATAAATTTTATACGGATAAAAAAGTTTCATAATGTACATGAAATGCAAATGGAAGTCAAAAAATAGTAGAGAAAGAGCGTGGAAGATCAGCAAACCTTAAAACTTACTCTTGGATCTTGATATACAAGATCTACAAAAAGCGTTCAAATAATTTTAAACGAATGAAAAAAAAAGTGAAGATAACAAACATTGATCGATCTAAAAAAAAAAATCCACAAACATTACAAATCTGTGAGTTGGGCATAAACACTGACCTCTGGAAATTCCAGAGGTGGGATCAGGTGCCTAGAAGGAGTAAGCATCCCCCTTTTGACCAGTCACACCCGCTGTGAGCCCTATGTATTGATCAGGTAGACGGACTATTCCGTAGTCAAATTTAGTACAAAAACAAAGGCCTAACAATTGGTATGAAACAGTCAACCAAAATACGACCCAACGATAGGTTATATTTGTTTACAAGGTCATTATAACTACCATAGAATTTACTAAATGCTGACTTTAAACAAGATTGTTGAAATCCCTGTAATATCGATCAACTTCAAATAATTTTAAACAAAGAATTTAAAGCAATACGCCGAGCACTAGATGATATAGATTAAATAAAACGCACGAAAGAGATTAAATAGATTTGTTGACGTTCCGAAAAGTATCGCCATAAGGAAGTCGATAAAGTTGTTGTATGGCGATCGATATTGTCGCAATATTACTCTGTTTTTATATTTAAGAAGTATCATATGCATAATGTGACAACATATAAAATAATTGAGGTTATATATATAACCTTACTACATTGTATTTTGATTTGGACTAAGAATGTGGAGTTTTGAAGATGATTATCGATTGCTATCTTCACATTTAATAAAGAAAGTCTCAAACTACATTAACTCCCCAATAGACCACAAACTGAGAACAGACATAAGTCAAAATTTCAATTTCAAATACAAATTCAGAATTCAAATTTAATATGATATAAATCTGCAATTTTTTGAGCACATATATGTTGAATAAAATTCAAAATATTCAATATCAATTTTTTTACTGAAGTATAGTCTCAGTTTATGGTCTTGAGGCCAAAAAATGAACAAGTCCTGTTTTAGTGTTTAATGAAACGTTATTTTCCATTTAACAAGTTTTAAAATTAACTTTGCATAATCTCATTTATTGCACGCTAGTTATGAATTGTTCTGGCTAATTTTTGTAATGTTGACTCTTTTATAAATTATAGTTTAGACTATGACGTACAATTTATCTATGTGACAGCTATTCATTCCTGCCTGACGGTCCGGTTTGGTCTCAGGAGACACACGGGGTATTTCCTACTACACGTGGTTACTCCGTGCTCATTACTAGTGGTACTATCTTGGGTCTCATTCTGGATTAATAGGGAGGCTACAGCAGATAGAATTGCTCTTGGTAAATACCAATTACTCTGGGATTCCTAAAGAATTGCTGGGACATAACGTTAAGCACAGTACCAAGTCCAACAAATTTAATATATACAAGCTTTATTAGTAGTTCAGTGATGGATATGTTTAGATGTATGAAGGTGTTAATTATCTCATATCTCAGTTGTCAAAAAAAAATAAATAGCTTTTTCTGTGTAACAAGGGTCAAATTCTTATTCATGTTATATATTTACAGGTACAACCACAGTTTTAACTATGACATTTCTTGCCCTTGATACCCGAGATGAACTCCCTCGAGTCTCCTATGCCACTGCGCTTGACCTGTACGTCTCTATGTGTTTTATCTTCGTCCTTTCCACTCTTGTACAATTTGCCATTGTTCACCTGTTCACCAAGAGAGGTCATAGTGATACGCATCCCCATCCCAAAATAGACAGTTCGGATGAAGAAAATGCACCTGTATGTATTTCTTACCCTACAGCATTAAAAAAGCCAAGATTTAGCAAAGATGTATCTTCGGGAGAAGCATTTAACCTTTTTGTTTCTGTCATCCAAATAAAGCCATAATAAATTTAGATTGCTGCTTATGGATTATAAAGGAGGTAGAAATAATAGTAAGAAATTGTTTTTACAGACCCACAGAAAACTACAGCCCAGAACTACCAAAAGGATAGCGTGTACTGAACAGAATATTCAAAAGAACCGAGTATTCGTATCCAGAGTTGAGAGTCAGATGAAAGTGTGGTTTTCCAGCTTAAAGTTCAAAGGTCATTCTGTCCGAGGAAAAGGTCGAGATATCCAAGCTAACAGTGTGAGCCAGATTGACAAGGTGTGTCGATTTGTTTTTCCAGTTACATTTGTTATCTTAAACATAGCATACTGGTCATTTTACTTGACCAGAAACGAATTTAAAAGTATGTGAAAATACTTGCCTTATCGATGGAACACAATTTTATTTATGCTTTGACTTCTGGTAAATATCGTGACTGTAATGATTATTGAAACAAATAAATAATACAAATATAAGAAATATGATTTAATTTTTTTAATATATCTACATATTTCGATTAAATATACAGGCAAACCGTTTAACAATTCAAAATAAAACTACATTATATACATATGCAACAGTATATACGCAAGATAACAATAATTGTCTTCAAATTTGTACTTTAGGAAGCTCATTTATATACAAGTTATTTAATAACATGTATATTTTATGAAAAAAATATATATACAAATAAAAATATTTGGTCTTTTTCCACACATGTGGATTTACACGTCTTCTTTGACATGTATGACACATGCTTTAATGAAAGCATGTAAATCATCTTAAAAGAGTATTAATAATGTAAATGTAAAACCTCTGACGCAAACAAGAGGTTTGACAAATAAATATGAGGTGTAACAAAAGCTCATAACAAATTATCTGTCTGTTGTTCCTGAATTGTGGAAGACAATACTGAAACAATAGTGCTCTTTTTTGTCCCTGCTATTGTGTCGTTGTCATTAGATGTGAGTCGAATTCTGTGATAAAGAAGTATAAAAAAACAAAATAAGTAAGAAATATCCTCAAAATTGGTTTTTTTTTATTTATCTATAAATATGTATTAGTTAATGCTTTATAATGCATCTACTCAAGATAGAGCTTTCTATTAAAAGATAGATGTATGCTATTTTATTCATTTAAAATAAGAAAACAGTTTTTATTGCACATTATCTTTTAAGGCATGCAGAAATGTCATTGCACCAACACTAGAATACACGAATGTGCAAGATATAATGAGAAAACAAATTAATGACGGAATGCAAATATGATAAAAAGGAAATATTTTTAAATAGCCCGTCACTCTTCTACATTCATATATGTAAAAATGATACATAGAAATGTCTACATGTACGTAGATTTCTGAGAACTTAAGAAAAAGTCGTGATGATCGTGAAAGATTTAACTGAGGGTATTTATTACAATATTTTATTACGTGTACTGAAACAAAGTTTTACTTCGTTTATGTTCATTTTATTAATTTAAGATGTCTAGAACGTGATGAAGACTGCAAAGAAATTAAATTTAAATGTTTTGAAGCAAGTGGTCCCAGGCAGATTTTTCATATAATATCAAACCCACTAAAATGATTTATATATATCATGAAAAACTAGAAAATTAAGAAAAGAACAAGCACAGGAAATTAATAAGATAAAACGTACAGCGAATGACAATGAACCACAAATGGGGATAAGATATACAAGTGCCAACAAAAAGGAGAAAGGAACTTAAAATTTTCAAAAAAGAATGTCCCCAGTTACCAAGCTTTGGGAAACGTAATAAGTAAATGACCATACTGTATTGTACCTATACTAATAAAATTCCGCCATTAAACGGTCATCGACCTGAGGGTCAACCTCTTCTATAATAGTACACATCCTTTGTTTTGTTGACTATGTCAAAAGCGAACAATATGATAAATACAGTCTGAATTCACATATTTTTCACTTGAATAATAATTCAAAACTGACGTAACTAATCAAATATATTTGTACTATTTCATTTTTAAGTAGTAAATGAACATTCATTAACTTGAGCTCACCCCATCTGCGTATTCCCCCTCGCCTTCAATGGTTGCTGCCAATACAGCGTCATGAACAGAAAGGTAGATTTGAGAATCATATTTCTCGGTAAATCCCGTGGCTTCCAGCACTCGCCACACCTCATCTTAGTAAAAAATATGGAACTTTGAAGTTAATATTTTTTTTTTTTGAATTCAACAGAACTGTCTTATAAAATTTTATCTACATACCTCTCACCGCTGCCAGAAATACGATCGTACCCACTGTTTTATACTCCTCAATAACCTAAAAATTATTAGAAGGAGATGCATATGAATTCAATGACTTTTTCATAAGTGATAAAATTAAATATCTAGAAATAATATTAATTTGGAATAGAATGGCAGTGGACACGTACCTGTTTCAGAACTTTGCTGCCCACGGAGTCAATAAAGCACATACTCGAACAGTCAATGATAACGTGATGCACGTATCCCAGGTTTCCATTTCCGGCTTTAATGCTTCCTGTTCGTGACCTGACACCACTTCCGTTGCTCTGAAGATCGGAAGTGCTGTTATTATGGCTCAGTTCATTAGATGAGCCGTTGCTTATTGTCATGGATACATTGGGATGATCACCAAGACTTTGAGTTGGTGTTAAAGGTGGGTTGGGGTCAACATGGCTGTATGAACCACAGACTAAGGTCAACTGACTCTATAAATAGATAACCATTCAAAACACTTGTCGAAATGGTGTCACTGAAATAAGTCAATATGGATCAGTGTAAACAACATCACATCTAACTCACCACCCTGCGGAACTCCAGTATAGAACCTAAACGTTTGATCTGCTTTCTAGCTCTCTCTGGCTTCAGACCAACGATCTGGAAAACCTGTTTCACGAACATATCACCGTTTGCATAATACAGAGGTGAATTAAAGCCAATCACCTTTATTCCATACTGGGACTGTGTCTGTAATATATTTTAGATATATTCAAGTTAATTGTTATTAGTGGTAGACACTGCAATATACATTTAATGTTTTCAAAACAACGCCTTTTCTTTTACCTTAATATATTTCTTCTCATCTGCAAACATTTCAACATCGGGTATCTTCTGCAGAGAAACTGCTTTGGCACTAAAATGTAATAAGAAAATGATAACGGACATTTTGAGGCAACAGATTAAACTTGTATAATAGAACCACATTATTTTATCTGAAAGACTTACCATTGGGTTCTGACAACAACGGTAAGAAAAGAGAAGATAAGTCCAACCCAGAGTCCGAGGTCAACGTATAAAATGACTACCGCCAGGAAAGTCACGACCCATATTACCTGTAATTATAATCAACTTATAAAATGACTAACGCAGGGAAAGTCACCACTTATATCACCTGTAATAATAATCAACGTATAAAATGACTATCGCCAGGAAAGTCAACTATAATTATAATCACTTATAAGTGACAACCCCTATAGGGACGTTACCACACACTTGAATTAGTTGTAAGTTAAAAATTGTCAACCTAGGTACATCCGAGGGTGGCAATGGCTTTAATTTGAGGGGTGAAATTTTTTCTCTGTTACTCCCAACGTTTTAAATTATTATCAGCTTATAAAAATAATTATAGCAAATAACTGTAAATTTAATCATTTGTAAAATAAAAAGCGATAGGAACGTAAACTCTCAAATTCTTTTAATTATGATTAACAAATAAAATAAAAGTATGTTCACTTATCACCCATTCTAGCCCAATCTTAATCAAAAGATATTTGCAGAAAATGAAAATCTCATTAGAATATCTTTATTTTGCATTGGTTGATTCAAGATGTGGTTCATGCAACCTGTGCAAAATATAATTCTAATAATCATTATCATCATAAACTCTGATGAAATACTTCGTAACCTTTTGAGTTTATCCTTGTAATTTGCATAACTTTGTATATTGAAGTAAAGCAACGAGATTAAAACAAGTTTTAAACATGATGTAAAATGATTCTTAATATACAGATTTGATATACTCTCTAGATTTGAAAAAAAAAATGGAAAAATGGGGAAAAAACTAATAATGATCAGTGTATATCAGCATCTGAAACCACCGTATGTTGTTAATACATCAGTATATATTTACTACACCACAGTGTTTGATATCATTTGTCACATGAAATATGCAACAGGTGTAGGTAACAGCGATATTACTTTTACTGTTCATTCTCGTGACTGTACAATCTACAGCTCATCAAAAACTGACGGAACAAGTCTGCATGCATACATGTACAGTAGCCATAAATAAGGACAACTAAAGATAGTATAAAGTATAAAATAAATACATCCATTCAGTTTTTGAAATACAGGGACTTTGAATATTTTATACGTATTTACTTACACAATCATATTTGGAAACTTTCCACAGCTGCTTCAACTCCAAAATCTGAAGAAACATGCTCCTTAATGCCACCATTATGATCGAGGACAGAACGCACTATAAAACAATTCAAAGTTCATAACAGCAAGTCAAAATAAGAATAATGTATCATACTTTTAAATTATATAATAAAGCTGACTTTAATCTATAATACTTACATTAGGGAGAGATTCAAACAAAGGACCAATTAAAAGTATCACAACCAATACCAAAGAGGCAGAGAACACACTTGTAAGCTGAAGAAATAATCAGAAGTTAAATATCAGATAAAAATTACTGAAAAAAAGATTTTCAGCACAAACGTATGTACAAAAACCAAAGAGTTATTTTCTGAGTAGAGAGCGTTTGTAACCATACCTGGGTCCTTCCACCAGCGGAGTCTTGTACAGATGACCTAGATACAGAAGCTGCAAACGGATAACAAGAAAAGAAAGAACCAAAAATATTTCCGGCACCATATGCAATCAGCTCCTGGTTCGAGTCCATGGGGTAATTGTGTTTCTTTGCCATCAAAGCAGCTAGCGAAACCGACTGAGCAAAGGCGACAATTGCAATGATAATAGCGTCACTGATATGTTCAAAAGCACTCTTCAGATTTGGAATTTTGGGTTCTGGCAATCTAAAATATTCAAACGTTTTGAAACACGTATTTGTTAATTCCTTTTTAAATTTCTGAAATGCATAATAATACTTTAACGAACGCGATTTCTAGACTCACCCTGCTGGGATTTTTCCGACAATTTTAACATTGTACTCGGTGTGGAAGTTAAAGAAATACGACAAGAGAGTCCCGGCTACAACCTGTAGAAGAAAAAAAAACCCATATACTACATACTAGTATGCAACGTAAAAGACTATGAATACTCACCCCCTGTATTCTGACTTGCAACGAGTTAGTTTGCCATAAATGTTTACATCTAGTAAAATACCCGAATTGAAACAGATGTGTATTAGTGGTGTCTATTATTTCAATTTCATAAAAGAAATTATTAAAAAAATGATACTCACCACAAAAAGTTCAATAGGAATAGGAATCTTAAGCTTGTGCTTAAATCGGTGATTAATTTGAACCTTGACAATGTACAGTATCACCATGCATATAGCCGAAATAATGACTGTGACGTAGTTGGTCTTGGCTATGTTTTCGAAGATTGCTTTGTATGTCTGAAAAAAGAAAACAACATATTAATTCATAATTACGTCTTTGGTTCTATTTAAAGAGACTGTGTAAAAAGAATGTTTGAAGTCCACTTACGTAAATGATTTGGAAGAGATTGGGGAATCTGGGTATTTTTAATCCGAACACGTACTTGACTTGACTGGTGAAAACATGAACTGCAGCCCCTGTGGTGAACCCACTGACTAGAGGGTCAGACATGTAGGTAGTCACGAGTCCAAGTCTACAGACACCGAATATAACCTGACAACAGAGATCTCCATTATAACATAACTGCAAGTCAATGGAATTTTCGTGATTACAAAACTGAACAATTTAAGAAATTTACCTGAACAACCCCGACAAGGAAGCACATAGAAGAAGCAAGAGCTAGTTTCTGCATAATGAAGTCGTCCTCGCTGGAAGAGCCTATAGTGGGGATTACCGGGGCCAGAGTCAGGGAGTGATTACCCTCCGTGTCGTTGAGGTATGTATCGTTAGGAGTAAAACTCGTGGGCGTGACAGAGTTTGAGTTTAGTGGTGAAATACTGGATACGACTGAACCAGTCATCAAACTGACCACAGCTACCGTTCCTGAAGAAAAACAACAGCATATGCTGAGTTAGATGCTTTGTTTCTAAAAAAAAAATCTCTGCTCATGAAATTATCTGCAATATTATACTTGAAAATTAAAAGATATGCTTTTAAATACTAGTATATTGCACACCAATTTTATTAATTCTACAAATTCTTTCTTGAGGCAAAAATGTTGGATATGTAGTTGGATATTTCATCAAACTAATTTTCTGAGCAAATTCGTTCTGTCTCTATTACATACCCATTGATATATGCCGAGATGTACCAAAGAAAAAGTAAATCAGAACGGGAAAGAAAGCCATATACAGCCCTACAACAGGAGGCATATCTGCTAACATGGCGTAGGCCATTCCTACAGGAAAATTGAATTTTAGTATTAAACATTTTATGGTAAGACAAAAATATAACGGTTAAATAGCAATAGACGTGCAGCTGTTGATGATGTATGTATAATAGATTAAGGTGAATTAAAAAAATACCTTGTGGAAGTTGCATAATGCCGACTGTAAATCCAGCAATTACATCATTAGGTAAGTCTGTTTTTATTTTGTACTTTCTGTAAATTCTCAAAAAAGGTAGGACTTTTTCTACACATTTTTTCTTGTTGGAACAATTAACCAAATTCTTGGCCGACTTTTTACACTTTTCAGCAAAGGTCAGTTCCGGTTCTTCCTTGCGGTATTCCTTCCGGAAAGCTGAGGTGTGATAGAGTTCGTCCTTTTTGTCCGCGGAGTAATTTTTCTCCGAGTTTGTCAATTGATCAGGGGGAATGTCCCCTATATTCAATCTAAAAGTGCTCATTTAGCTTCTTTTTTTTTACCAACAGGCAGTCACTCTAATGAAGAATAGAATGCGGTCGATCTGCAAAAAGAAATTGCACTGCTTTGACAAAGTATTTGATTTTGTTAGATACAAGTGATTATTCTGGATCGAGGCCCTCACCTGTTGAGACTAATTGATCTGATGGATTAAGCGTTTCCTCGCAGCATGGACTCTGTGTGTATTAGTGAAATGGAGAAAATATAGTGAAACTATTTTAATGAACGTTTTGATTTTTTTGGTTTTATATACTCTTACAGATTTTGACAGGAGTACACATATGACGAAGACGAGGAGTTTAATTTCAAAACAAACTTACCACAAAAAAGTTTTTTTTTTTTAAATGTGCTTTTTCAATTCATGACTGGTTTGTTTACAAACATTACCTGTGTTTATACCAGAAGGAGCTACGCATTATGTAATTTTTAACAAATGCCTAAAAGCAAACAGTTATTGGATACTTTATTTTTGTAAGCTGATAGTATGTATCCAAAGGATATCTAGTAACAGAATCACGTATAGTAAACAAACTCTGTATTAAATGAATTCCATATTCAATATTTCTTTTGATCTATTCTATTTATTTTACTATCTGAAAATTGGGAAAATTGAGTTTTCCCTTAGTTTTTAAATGTTTTTAAATGCTGACCGACTTTTTGATTTTCGAATATGAATATATACCCATGTCTCTTTTTTAATTATCTATGTTCTGAAAACTTAATATATTGTTAAAATCATGCGATCAAAATGAGAAGGAACTTCATCTCTTTTTTTAACAAAGTACGGCATGTGTAGTTGTTGAAGTCTTGGTCAGAAAGGTACATTACATAACTTTTTGTGTTTAATTAATGTTTTCCTTTGAGAGGTTTACAATGTGTAGCAAACGACATTTTAATGGTTCACTTCTATGCATATTCATATACAAGGAGACGATTATCTTTTGAAAAAAGGTAATATCATTATTATAAAGGAAAACTTTGGATTAAAATTCTATTTTTTAAATTTGAAAAAAAAAATTAATTCAAAGACCTGAGAAAATTTCAAATTATGCATGCGCAACAACTATGAAATTTCACCTTTGTTCTGAGAATTTCATTTTGCAATAAATTTACTATGATAATCAAATAAGTTTGTATTCATCTCCTGTTTTCCCCCCTAAGACAGTATTAAGATCAAGGCTGTTAGATTTTTTTAATGACTTAATTATTTTTTTAACCGAATCAAATGGGTTTTTGCAAAGTTTTTAAAATTCTTCTGATGATTTATCTTCTATGATATTGAACATTCTTGTATCTAGTGTTTTTCACGGCAGAGAGGAAAACAGTGTATAGTTTGACATGAATGATTATTCAGGTGTTCAAATTTGAATTAAAAGAAATAAGCGTCGTGCAGTCAATTCTTTTATTTTTATTTAATAACTTAACAAAATCTATAATTAATGATTCTTAAAACAATGAACTTATGTTGTGTTCTAATACAATGTAGCAAGCATATTGACAAAGAAAAAAAAACAATGTTTATTTATTCAAATTCTTTTATATGTCATCCTGCAATATTCTACTGGACCATGAATCAAAAAGAAGGTTATGACATTTAATATTATTTTGTAAAATAAAATCGATGTACGTCATTGTTGACACAAAAGATGCACAATAATGCTCTAGATGATATGATGATTCCCTACATGCAGACCACGTTTAAGTTTTTTGTTTGTTTATTTGTCAGCTGAAAGTGATCTGAAATCAAATGTCGTCCTGCTTCCGACAACAATCTGCCTCCTTACGCAGGTCTGATGCGCTAAATGCGTGCATGGTGCACAGCATCTAATTTCAACGTCGTTTGAAGTAATTGGACAATGAAACCGCTTACAAGTCTCATTCTGAAAAAACAGCTTCTTCGGATTATATATATTTATGCACATAAAAGGATATAAAAAAAATTACCCGAAGTAGTATGGTCACCCAAGTCGTGATCTAATTAACCAATGATAAAGTATATTTTGTTACAAAAAATTACCTTGAAGAAGTAAAATGGTGACACTGAAGACGCAGTCTAATAAACAAACGATATCATACATTTTGTTACAATTATAACCCCTTATGATTATGACGTCAATGACATGCACTTAAGACATAAATAAGACTGTAAAACAATTGGCCGCATTTCCCAAAACATTTCTTTTTGGTAAGTGATAGATGCACACACAGTTAAAGGTCATTCTTTCTAACAATGATCCTTAATATTCAATCAATTATTCAGAAATAGACACTAACAAATGATCAAAGAAATTTTTTAGGTGAAAATGTGAATATACAATAACTCGGAATGTTACAATATTTGTGCGAGCAATCAGTCAAATATATTGATTTAAGGAAACTGGCACAGTGACACGTTTACGAAATTATTTGGGTACCAAACTATATTTCATCTCCTAAATTATGAGGTACGTTTTACACATGATTACTGAGACTGCTCAAAAAAGGTGACACTTACTTTTTTCGTTTGTGTTTATGAATGTAAAACCACGGAACACCTGTTTCCATGCTTATGAGTTAGAACACCGCATGTTTTCTTGTTTCATGTGAGGTTTTAGCAGCATTCTTCTCTATACAAAACTAAATACTGGTCACATCGACTGACAGTCCAACAAATAATATTTCACAAGAAAAAGAGTATTTTTAAAAGAGAGAAAAAAATCCATATTTCACAAGCTGTTGAACTTGCAATATTTTGAGGCCGACACTGCCTATCCCGAACAGTGAATTGCACTGTACCATTACACAACTTTGATGAAACATTTAATGTTTTAAATCTGTCTGTATGATTGATTACTAGGATTTTCAATTCGAAAATAATATCAATCAATTAAATTCAATCTTTGCATAAGAAAGTAGAGTAAGCGATATATATCTTGGGAATAGTTAATGCCCTTAAATCCTGAGATGGTAGAACGCGGTACATCTGATTAATATAAATGTTACTGTATGCAAAAAAAAGGCAGAAAACTGAATAATTGTACGTGACCATGACTAAATTTCTTCAAACCGGAAAATGTAACGTCATCGGTGGTATTTGATATCAATGAAGTGTGTTATTTATTGAATCAATACGGACAACAGTTGTAATACCAACAGGTGAGCGATCGATTATTTACTAGCACACTAATAAGTGAAGCAATGTTTCATTTACACTTCTGGAAATAAATTCATCAGTCTTTTTTAAAAATACTCGGTTATTGAAATTTAAAAAAATATAAATACTATAATTAGAACTTTAAGGAGGAAGTTGGTGTACACCCCAACACAAACTTATACGCCATAATAGCCTGTAACTGTTAAATTAAATTAATTTCTCGGAAATGATGCTTCTTTTGTACTATCATTACTAGAAACAAGTAATAAAGCTTACGTCTTCATCTGACATCTTGATCACTCTGCGCAAAATTTATCCGCGCTAAATTTCAACAAAACCTTTTCCGAAAGTTCTCCGTTTTAAAATATTATCTTACCTTTATATTCAAAAATCAATGAACTTTTCCTCGTAAACAAATTCAGTCTTTTATGAAACGGAAATATTCCAGCATATGCACATCATGATTTACAAAGATAAAAAATTGTTAATTTTACAGTACCCTCCACGTACTTTCGTGGAGGTCCAGTTCATTTGACTAAGAATGGGGTCTGCCATTTTTATGCATAATTTCTCACTTATATGCCATTGTATCATTAGAAGAAAAAATGCAGGTACAAATGACTCTGTCATCCGATAGGACAAAAAGAAATAGTAAGTGTTTTATATTCCGATAAAAAAATGATTAATGTTTAGGAAGAAGTGTAAATTGGTTCACAATCAATAATACGTATTCAACATGCGTGTGAATGCCCGTGGGTTAAGTGCTGAACAGACTACTGTACACGCTGAAAGATATATTTTATTACTTGCACAATTTGTTTTGTTATTAATAAATTAAGGTTATGTCAAGTCCGATTGTCAATGCGTATACAAGTTTTTTTTTATGCAGCCATTATAGTAAAATATTAGAAGAAAAGATTGGGAATTTCAGTTTCCTTTTTATTCTTTGGAATTCTGTGTCAGCAGATGTATATAATCATTTTCGTACGAACAAATATGCTATATATCATATAAACAATAATTCATGTTAACATTTAGAGGAGTGAACTAATTTGTTAACGGCGCTAAGACATGATAGGCCGCCCCGCTGTCCTTTGTTAGGGATGTTGACCAACAAATGGATGAAATCTGTCGACCTTAATACACTAGATAACAACTAAAAGCAGGAACGAATAAATTATAGTGTATAGTGCAAGATTGATAATGGGCTTAAGATGGACTACTTGTCCTTGAGTCTGATGTAGTAAGTGACCTTGAATAATTACAGATAGAAAATATCATACCCTTTACAGACCTATTTTGCATTGTACAAATTTATACATGCAACGATTTCTAAAATCTTAAAATTTGGTGCAGTTCAATATGCATTTCCATCAATTTTGATGTATAATCATTGTCAAAGATTGCAAATTTTTTTTAGTATTCATTCTTAGACATTATTCTCGATATTTTTTTAGTAAACATTTTCGAAATACATTTTACAAAACATTAAATTTGGTATGTTTTACAAATAATAATAAAGAATATTGTTCAGTCAGCAAATACAATATTTCATAAAGTCAAATGTTGACAATTTTCGTGCAAATTTTAAACCATTATTTCCACATTAAATTGTCTTTTGTTTTTCCGTTTACCCAGTCATGACAAGGTGACCGTCGGCAGGGGATGCATACTCCTCCATGGCACCTGATCTCATTTAAGATGATTTTAGAGGTCTGTTTTTGCTGTGCTCCTAATTTGTATTGTTCCAGTGGACTGTTCAGCTTGGTTACTGTTCGTTATCTTCATCTTTAATCTGTGTGTATAAGTGTGTGTGTGTGTGTGTATAAGTGTGTGTGTGTGTGTGTATAAGTGTGTGTGTGTGTGGTTTCAACGAACTGCGAATAAGTACCATAATTACTAAACTGAAA